CTTATATGGTCTTACATAACAGGAGCTTTAAGGAATTTTTTATAAAAATTTCAGTAGAAATCTAAGTGAGTGGAATTACCAGTAACACTAGAACTTAGCCAAGAGGAACATGAACATATCATAAAGGAATGTCACTGTATTTATCGCGAATAAATTGGTTATTTTTGCAAAAAATTTATGGCAAAGAAAATTCTTAAATAAATAGTGTTGACACGTTCTTTGAATATCAAAGAACAATCTTCTATTATGAAAAAATCGACATAGAACTACTTTATAGCAGTTTGACATGAACTAGTTGACACATTCATTCAAGTAGGGTGAAGTCTATTTTTAATATTACAAAATTGCAATTTGAGTTTAATAGAAGGTGTCACTACTATCTGCTTTAGAATATCCGTGTCGTATATTTCTGTAAGCTACTTGAAGCGAATTCTAATCGTCAAAATCCCTAACATTAGTAGACTGAAAAAATAAATTCTATTCTGTAGTCGATTGAAAAGTTGTTAAAAAAGCTAGCAAGCAGTTAACGCTAGAAAAAATATCAATGAAGAAAATAGTGTACATTACTGGCAATGAATGGAACTTTGAAAACTGATGGATAGCTAAAAAAAAGAAAAATCAACTTATGATGACTGCAACAACTCCTGCAAATAGGGCATTAAGTCTACCGCAGAACTACAGTAGGCACTGAGAATAAATATGCCTCGAAAATAAATAAGAGCAAAAAGAAATAAAGTCATGCCATTGTAGTCTTTGGATACTTGGAGTGATTTTACCAGGGTCAGAAATGTAGCAGTCTAAGTCGGCGTTGTCGTGTTCAGTGGTCGGCAACTAAGGTCAAAACACACAGTTACAGACTTAATCTTGATTCACACGCGAGAAACTCAACCAAAGTTAAATCGCATTCCGGGTCAAGGTGCAAGCTCAACCCTTGCACGCACTTGCTGTGCAGCTAGTTATATTTTTTCTACTTGTATAATGACCTACAATTTGTCTACTATAAGACATGGAATGTGAATCCATTCTCAATTTTTTCTTGTGAATCATTCTTAAATCTTTTTTGATTAAATTGATTTAACAAAAGAGTCACAAAAAAAAGTCAGAGAAAGATTGTGACGCGATTTTCTGTTAACAATCTTTTAAAGAATGACTTAAAAAATACTACAAGAAATAGTTTTTAATTTTACGCATGTCATGTTTTTAGAATATTTTTTTTTTTGTGTAACTAAACAACTTTATTATATGAATATTATTTTTACTTTCGATAACAATTTGTTTGTATAATCAAAAAAGTCACTGTTAAGGTCATTCTAAGCCGCGAAGCAAAAAAAATCCTTGGAATGTCTTGTTCGCACCCTACCTTCACATTGCAAGATTAAAAATATGCTTCTAAAATTATCAGTGACTAATTTTATTAATGTACAAACAGAAAAGTTTTCTAATTAAAATGATTTTTGCAAAATGTTTTCAACCCTTAAGTGTCAATTTTTATAATTTGTATTCCCCAGTGGCTGGTACTGTCATCCTCTTGTTTTTTCCTTATAAATTTTTTATCATATCGTCTTAATATCTATTTTTTCAAATTTTTTAATTAAATGTTTTTATGAAGCTAATGTTGTTATTACTATTACAACTTTTTCTACTTTAAAATACAAACGAAAAATCATTTAATTATAAAATTTACTTACTTTTTAACAATTCTTAGATTTTTAACCCCTAGATAGCACAAACTACTTGATCTACTAAAATGGCCAGACACTGGGAATCATAATTTATTGTATTATAAAAATATCTACTAGAAAATATGAAAATCTTAAAAATTTGCAAGTATGTTAATTGTTTCTGGAAGTTAAAGATGGCAGACGATAATCTATCACTTACTACCTATCGTATTTAAAGTGTGAACAGAAATCAAATTTTTTCACACTGCTTCGAATACTCTATAGACGATGATCTAGGTAACTCTGAGAACATTAGGGAATTTATAGACGTAATTAACGGCTCCCTTGACAATTTGGATAATAATGATAACGTCAGCGTTCATGCTTCACCCATTTTGCTTGTCGATATTTTAAGTGAAAATATCGAACAAAAGTGTCAAGTTTTAGAAAATTTTGAATATAATATTAACCAATTTCTCTTTCCTTGTAAACATTCACAGACAACTTGGGAAAAAAAATTCTAAGTCGTACTCAAGGTCAAAAAGTAAGTTTCGCCCGATTTAACGACCAGTTTACAAATGCTATTCAGCAGTCGGTTTAAGCAGTTCAGTTGTTGCTCCCCAAGAATGATTGCGACGATAACATTTATTTTTTAAATATTAAATGTTATCCAATATTTCAGGAATAATAGTTTTAAAAATTTTGGGTCTAAAATTTTATTTGAAAAAAACAATCGACGTAGATTTTCGTGTTTTATCGAATTTAAACTCTGACCTTCTATTTGGCATCTGTATTCTAATCGCAATTGGATATCGTTTTGTTTTCGATAAGGTCGGATAATTTCCTAATGAGAAAATAATTAATAAAAACAAATCAATGGAACGTTGCTCACAATTCCTGTGGATTTATAGAAACATTTGATGAAATTAATTGTCTCACAACCCCAACGACAATAGAAAATGATAAAATGAAAATGATTGTTTTTCTCGGATATATCCAAAGCATTATCTATACTTATCCGTTTTAGTTAATTGCAATTTGCTAATTATAAATTACTTCTACATTGCTTTGCACAAAGCAAAGATTATTTAAAATACAGTTAATAAAGACTTTCCGCATTCTTCAATTTGTATTTGTAAATATATTCGAAGAGAAAAAAAATTGTTTAGATAAAAAATGTTGTCTAGTATAACGAAATTGTTCCTGCAGTATTTAATTAGGTAGAGAATTTTAGAATTTCAAAAATCACGTCTGAGTGAATTTGTGAAATAGGAGTGAAATTTGAAAATTCAACAAATTGATATCTATGATACTGTTAAGTATTGAAGTACAAGTTGCAATAGTGATATTTTTTAGTTGTTGTCATTACAGAGTGATTGGACATTTGTTTGGCACTCACAAAGTTACGGTTTGCAAACGCATTCATCGCGTGACTGACGCAATTAACGAGTGTTTAATGTTAGATTGAATTCGACTTCCATATGAATCAAAATATGACAAAATTTCAAAAGAATGAAAAAACAACAGGTATGCCCATTATCAATGCAATTACTGATGGGAGCCACATTTCAATTTTTCCTCTTCCTTATGGCTGCAGAGACTTTATTTATCGAAAGGATGTGCATTCTTTATACTTCATAGTCTCATTCATTTGTAACCTCTCTTTGGACGTTACATTTTTAACAAGGTTCTTCTCATTGAAGTGAGTTTGCAATTCTTTTTTGTGGACATTTCATTTTTACAAAATGTATATTTTTACTGAATTGAAAATGACATCTGATTCAAATATTAAAAAGTTTACTAAGTGTGGTAGGGACATTGCACATTGTGTTCTAGATGTAAACTTCCTTATCACCCGAGATGTGCAATGCAGACCTCTACTCTGCCTGATCATTTGTTAAATGTAAGCCAAGGTTACTGTCCTCATCAGCTCCTTCTCAGTACTCACAATCTTCTGTTATTTTGAGTGCATTATCGGCGCCATAAAGCAATTAACACAAACTGTCTCTAAATATTTTACCACAATATCGGAGAATTTCGTGGACATAAATGCCAAACTTGATGACACGCTATTCTAGACTCACTAATATGGAGGTAAGAGTGGTTGATTTGACTGATCGACTTGCTGTTGTTGAGGAGAGACTTGACAATTATGAGGCGGAATGTTCACAAATAGTTAACCCAGTACTCGAGACTAATGCCTGCATCAATGAAATTGTTGAACGGTCGGAAGGAAAGTGTAATTTAGTTTTTGGTTAATCTTCTTGAAGGTGAAACTCCAAACGAAGACTCTAAGACCTTGAAAGCTTTGGTCATCAACAAATTTAAAAAGTTTACTAAATCAACTGATATTTATGCAATTCGAACATTCAGAATTGGTGTTAATGAGCAGATCTCTCAGACTTTATTGACAGCTATTCACAGGTCAATAAAGTACTTATTATTACCCTTGGGCAGTAATAGCCTCTTGCAATTAATGGCTTGTCCCATTAATATTCAAATAAATAAAGGGGTCATTCACATATTACGTATATTTAGGTATTGTAAGCAAAGTATCACACTTTAACAAATTTTTTGTACTAAAATATAGAAAAATTATCACACACGTGAGAAAGGGTCTAAAATGCCTCAAATATCTATCACGTAATATGTGAATGATCCGCTAAATAAAGATTGGAATCATATAATTGATCCTGAGAACAAGAAGAAGAACAACTTCTTTCTAGAGTTTCCACGATCCGGGACCTGGGGGTTTTACTTGACACAGCCTTAGATTTTAAATCTCACATTTTGAAACACAAGTTAACATTTCAAGCAGCCAATACAGCTACTGTTAATAAATCATGTTATTTTCAAGTAATTAATTTTCCAAATATTGTATTAAATACATCAGCAGTTTATGTACAATTGTAATGGAGTCGTTAAATTATTGCCACTATCGCATTTAAACTATGATCTCGAATAGACAACACAATTTGGAAATTCGATGTGACCATCTAAAATTACCACACTGCGTGTTAATAAAAACATTTTGAAACGATCATTTCATAATGTGCTAAACTTTATGGATGCATTAACTAATTTTGTTTCTAGTAGGACTAACTTTGACATTACATATATATATATCTGTAACCATTGCCCAAAATCATAACTATTTCACATATATTTTAATTTCCCAAATAAAAAAGTTCACAGAATGTCTACAAACTTTTTACTTGAATCACTTTACCCACTCAATAGATATTTAAGTATAAATTAAACCTGATACCCTAGAATAATACAATCAATTTCTTGTTCTAAGCAATAAAATGTTTTGAAAATTTTTCTTTCTGATTTCAGCTGACAGCAGTTTTTTATTGGCCAACGCTCAAATAGTTGATTTTCCAATCGTTTATTGTAACGAAAGCTTCTGCAAAATCTCAGGATTCAATCGCGCTGAGGTATTATATATAGTTTTTTTAAAATAAAGTTATCATATAAGAAATATTAAAATTATATAAAAATATAAGAACTCAAAGCCAAAATTTTTTCACCTAAAAATCTTATTCAAATAATTTAATAAAATACCACATAAATAACCATCATAAAATGATTTTATTTAAACACTTTTTAATTTTTAAACATTAAAATAATATTATTTGAAATTCACTGTTTTTACAATCTAATAAACATAGGTTAACAAGGTTTCAAACCCGAACAACGAAAACGTGTTTCTAACAATACGGTATATTTGAACGCTGAACTCGAATCAAGAGTCCGTTTTTTCACTACATGTCAGGTTGTTGAGATAATTGCAATTTTAATGTTTTGCTACTTTAAACAATTGTTACTGAAAATCGAAATAATATGACTTAGAGGAAAACAGGTTTTTGGGATCGCTGATTCCGAATTTGAAGTCAGATTTTAAAAATTCAAAATGGCGGATCCAATATGGCGGACAAACATATTAGAAATCTAACGGATTTACTTGAAATTTATTACTTGGAGGTTTTTGGGGTTTCTGATTAGGAATTTGAAGTCAGATTATAAAAATCCAAAAAGGTCGGACGAAAAATATAAAAAATTTAATGGATTGGCTTGAAACTTATTACTCGAGTGTTTTTTGGCTTCCTAATTACAAATCTGAAGTTACATTTAAAAAAATTTAATACTGGATCCAATATGGCAGACGAAAAACAAAAAATCAATTAGATGTACTTGATAAACTCATCACTCATGGGTTTGATTGCTGATCTCTATTACGTGAATGGAATCTAAACCAATATAAACGACAAAATTGACTGCACTTCACTTTTAACTGTTGATTCTATTTTAAATTAAGTATTTTTATTTGTGTTTTATTTATCTCAAATCTGAAAAAAGATTTAAAAAGAACTAGGGTCTCAAAATTAACGACTATAAAAGTTGTAATTGTGGAAGTTTAGTAATTTTATAGTCAGGATACGGAATCGTGTGTGTTACTTTAAATTGTCAGTAGATTCGTATAAAATATGGTCTTTTTTTCGTTAAACTATAATCAAATTGATTTTTTATTTTTTCGTCCGCCATATTGAATCTGCCATTTTAAATTTTCAAAATCTGACCTTAAATTCGTAATCAGCGACCGCAAAAACCCCCGAGTAATATATTTCAAGCGAATGCTATTAATTTTTAATTTTTTTCCGCCATTTTGTATCCGCCACTTTGAAATTTCACGTATTAGAGAAAATCTAACGACAGATTCAAATTCAGCGTGAAAAAATACATTCAAGAACATTTTCACTTTTCCGGTTTCAAAAGTTGACCCAAATCTGTTTTCCTGTGTAATTAACACTAGAATTACTGATGTGACAATTCGTCCTGTTGCGCATTTTAGTGCTTGTACATCTGCCAATAAAAAATATTCAGAGGGATGAAATTTCTTGACGAGTTAAATCTATCTAGCAAATTTCAGCACATCATCAGTATTAGAGATGTGACCTGGCAACACGTAGAATTACTTAACCGAAAATTTTGTTTCATCATAATATAGCATAAAAAATAAGTTTTATTAAATAATAGATAAAAGATTTTTTTTATTTTATTTTTTTTTTATTAAATAATTAAGATAGTGCAAAGTTAAGTTAACAAGTTAAACACAAGTATGTTTTTGTAAGATATGCAAACACATAGCAAAATATAAAAAGAAAATTATTATAATTTACCAAACATGACTAATATGGGGTGTTTTTAGAATCGCTGCTTACGAATCCAATGACAAATTTTAAAAATTCAAAATGGCGGATCCAATATGGCGGATGGAAAATTTAAAAAAGTTGAGTTAAGCTTTTGAAAATGACTACTTGTGTGTTTTTTGGGTCGCTGATTTCGAATCCGATTTCAGTTTTTTAAATGTTTTCAAATTCAAAATGGCAGATTTGACATATATTGAATCCGCCATTTTGTATTCTCAAAAACTGACATCCGATTTCTTATTAGCGACCCAAAAAAAACACCGAATTACAAGGTTCATGCAAATTTAAATAATTATAAAAAATCATCCGCCATATTGGATCCGCCATTTTACAATTTGAAAATTTTGCAAAACTTACGTTGGATTCGTAATCAGAGAGAAAAAGTTTAGTTAAATTTAAATAAATTTTAGTTTCTGAAGAGGGTAACCGCACTGACGAAACATGATACTATTCTCAAATAACCTGATTTTGTTATATTTATCAATTTATTACAAAAAAGTGGAAATAATAAATTAATTAAAAACTCACCGAATATAAATTATTTGCGATAAACTTCTAAATTTTTTAAACACTTTTTATTATTCTGAATAATAAATACAAAATATTCTTGATTAAAAATTGACACTGATGATTTTTCCAATTTTGAAACATCTATAACTCTTTTTGTGCAAAATGGAAAAAATCGAATCTTGTTGAAATCTTTAAGTTACTGATAAATAAACTGATAATGTTTTCTGCCTGAAAAAATTTTACATTTGATAAACGGACTACATAACAATGAATTTTTAGGTAATGCAAAAGTCCTGCCGTTGTGGATTCATGTACGGAGAACTGACAGATAAAGAGACTATTACTAGAATTGATGAGTGCTTAGAGGGTCAGATTCCAGATCAGTTTGAAGTTTTGCTGTATAAAAAGAACAGTAAGTAAATCATGAAAACATTATCCTAAAAGAGAATTTTTTTTATTTCATATTCTTTGGTTGCTTTTAATACACATATCTCATAGAAAACTAAATTTACGATCATTTCAAAAAACTAAGAATTTCTTTTCTCTTATAAGTTTTTGTCATTTTTGCTGTTATCCAATTTTATTGATTAGTTTTTAAAGTATCATAAAAAATGTTTTATTTAAACAATTTAAAGTTCATGGATATCATATTACTGTATTAAACAGAATAATTTTATTTATTCAATTTTAAGTATATGTTACCGGCTAAACTTATAATCATACTCGATTTCACAGTATGCAATATTTATTTTAGAAAATAAATGCATTTATGCCATTGCACACATTACTAAAAAATTTATAAAAAATTTTATTTCCTGTTAACTGCTTTACCATTAATTATTTTTTATTAGCTTTTGAAGTTATTCTTTTCTTTAATTTCTTCGAAAATTAAAAAAAAAGATTTGAAAAAAACAATTTTCTGAGAGATGAAATCGTCACGGTGAGATGGAAGCGTATTTTTTAATGACTTTGCAATAGGAAATCTTCAGATAAAAGCAAAATACGGTGTAACATTTTTGTTTTATTTTAGAAATGTTTCTGTTTCCAAACAAAGAATTTTCTCACTTTAGTTACTAACTTTTAGTATACGAGTTCTTTAGTTGTACTGTACTTTTTGCTGCAATTGACGCAATTTTGTAAAAAATTAAACATATTCTCTGGATTGTAGTGTAATAAACACATACTGTTAATAAAATTTTTAATTTTTTTTTATTTGAACCAAAAAGAACAGCCAAAGTATTATGGGCATTTTGTGACTGTCTCACTATAAAAAGAACTGTTTTATCTCTCTACATGAAGAAGAAAACATAAAGCGCCTAAAAATAATGCTTATTTCGAAACATAAAAAAATGTATCTACTTTTTAAAAGGTAAACAAGATTTCCTAAATTCTTATAAACGTGTACTAAATATTAATCTATCAAAATTACAAACACACAAAAAATTAATTTTTATGGTTTTACTGGTAACATATAATAAACTTACAAAATTTGGTTGCATTTCACTATAAAAAGAATTAACATTAAAGCACTTCTATAAGTCGATTCTGTAACTTTTCCACTTCCCACTTTCACTTCCCACTTTTCCACTCCCACTTTCCTCACATCACTCTCACTTCCCACCTTCTACTTACCCACTTTCCACTCTCACTTGCCACATTCACCTCACAACTTTCACTTTCTACTGCCCACATTCACTTCCTACCTTCCACTTTCTACACCCAGTTTCCACTTACCACTCTCACTTTCCACTTTCACTTTCTACACCCACTTTCCAGTTTCACTTCCCACCTTCCAATTTCACTTTCTACACTTACTTTCCACTCTCACTTCCCACCTTTTACTTTCACTTACTACTGCCCACATTCAATTCCCACCGTTCACTTTATACATCCACTTCCTACCTTCCACTTTCTACACCTACTTTCCACTCTCACTTCCCTCCATCCACTTTCACTTTCTACACTTATTTTCCACTTTCACTTTCCACTTTTCAACTCTCACTTCCCACCTTCCACTTTCTACTGCCCACATTCACTTCCCTCCATTCACTTTCTACACTCACTTTCCACTTACCTCTCTCACTTTTGTTTTCCACTTTAAACTTCTACTTTACACTCTCACTTTCTACTTTTCCATTTCACACTTTTCACTCGCACTTTCTACTTTCTACTTAACACTCTCACTCCCCACCTTCCACTTTCAACTTCCTACTCTCGCTTCCCACCTAAAGTGGGAGTAGAAAGTGAAAGTGTATAGTGGAAGGTAGGAACTGGAAGTAGGAAGTGAAAGTGGAAGGTGGGAAGTGAAACTGGAAAGTGGGTGTAGAAAGTGAAAGTGGAAAGTGGGATGTGAATGTGGGATGTGAATGTGGAAAATGAGAAGTGGAAGGTGGGAAGTGATACATAGTGGGAAGTGGGAAAGTTACAGAATCCGTCCCGATTTAATTATTATTTTAATAATTTATTCGACGATTTTAATAAAGAATTAGGCATTCTAAGTAAATAATAAAAATAAAATAATTTTTTTAAAGGTGCTCCTCAAGGTATGTGTTGCACAAGTTCAAGCAAATCGAATCTGTAAGTCATCCTCGATCTCATGCATACAATAGGGTCGCTATCTTCTGTGGTTTTAAAATCTCAACTATCAAATCATTCAACAATATTCAAATAATTTAAGTAGACATAGTTACATAATAACGTAGCCTTGTGTATAAATAAATTCTCATTTTCCATCTTCACAATTTAAGTTTTATTATTCTACTTTATAACCCTTCTAAATGAAAAAGATCAACATGAATGAAATTGAGGGTCCTTAGTGTAATCTAATATCTAAGTAAGGACATCGAAATCATTGTGTCAATCTTTTTCGTTTTCAAGATTGCTCTTCATACTGCAATTTTTATTTAACACAATTTTTAATAAATTTTTTAAATTATAATATTTTGTATATAGCTCAGCTTTATCTTTTAACTTTCATGTTTTTATATTTTTAATAATAATATTAATGTCTTGTAATTTACATTCTTCTTTATCTTTATTATTTATGATATAATTTTTTATAACAACACTCGAAGCTTTTTATACGCACATTGACAAATGTGATAATGATATTATACTAATCTGAAACAACAATGGCTTTATTGGAGTCATTTATGGTTTAAATGTCCTTTTTTAATTATATTTGAATTGTACAAGATGTTTTAAGGCTTTGACTTCCAAAGTCAAACATTTGTCCCTAAGCTGAACGTTCCCTTCCGAAATAAAAAAAAATAAAAGAACCTTCATATTTTCCAAAGAAAATCCTAGTTAAAGAAAGCTTCTTGACTTATAGTATTGTTATTTTCTCTCTACTTGAGTTGGACCTCTTAGCTCAAAATTTGTTAACCTACTTATAACCTTTTCATCTCTATTAGAAATAAAAAAATTTAAAAATTTTTACATAGTTTGCTAGGGTGAAGGAACCAGTTGTCGAGTCGACACCAGTTTTCGAGTCTTGGTGACTATTTATGTCTATAAATAGTAAATTATATTAAATACGTAAAATAAAATAATATAACAATATTCCCAATTAATATAGTTATTCATAAAAAAATGTTTTATTTTGTAATGTTAAATTGTTTTTCTTAAAAAAAATAATTTTATATGCATTACTCACGAAATCAGAGGAATGACACCATTTGCTATTTTCATTCGTAATGTGACTTGTGTTATTTAACTTCTAAGTACAGTTTATTTTTTAATATTTAAAAAACTTTTTTAATACCATTAAATTCTGAAGAAAACAAAGAGTATCTAACTGTTGATAATTACTTTATATGACTATTTATTAGTTTAAATAAAATTAATACTCGGTAACTGGTACTGAATTTTGATTGCTCTCCAATTGTCGATTTGTTGACTCGAGAAATGGGTTTGGCATATTTTATTATTTGACACCATTTTTCGATTGTCAATTAAAAACGTAAGCATAAATATTATCTGTCATTTTCGTAGGTTAATATATGGTTAGGTTTTTGTAAACATCTATTAATTAATTTAATTTTCTAAATACTTGAATTTGGATAAAAAAATTTGTATTGAAGAATTAAATTCATGGAAATTTTGTAAAATTATATTTAGAGTAATTAAATTTGTTATATATACAGTTTTTTTTTAAATTTCTATTATGTGACAAAAAAAACGACAACTGGGTCAAGAAATCGAGCAATTGGTATCTGAGCCTCGACAAATGGTATTTTACAAACAATTTCTTTTATATTAATTATTTAATATATAATTTATTTTTTTAACGAAATTTTATCAAGTATACTAGCTTAGATACTCCTCTTACTTAAATTATATTTTTTAATTTACATGGATGGTTTTGATTGTGATTAAAAAATGTGTAAATGTTGAACCTCACTATTTCCTCGACAAATGGTTCCATCACCCTATGTAAAAAAGTAAAAAATTATAAAGAGTTTCAAGTGTACAGAATATATAGTATTTTTATATAAACTAAATTGTATATTAATCTCCAGTAGGTTTGCTTATTTTATGAAACATTAATAGAACTTTTACAAATATAAATAAGATCTTTTTTATTATAATAAATAGTTAGTGGTGCAATTTTAGGTTATTCGCTGAGAAATATCCGTTTAATAATAGACATTTTCTAGTTATGATTAAACGACTTGCTTTTCATATATTATAATTAGTTTTAAAAAATTTTTAATCTGTACTGAAAACATTTTTATATCTTATATGCCCGCATGTAATATTATCCAAAATAGCTCAGTTTGTAAGAAGAGATAAATTGGGCCCCATGTCTGCTTTCCATTTTCTTATTATTATAAAAGAAATAATGTAAAATAAAGTCTTCATAATTTTAGTAATGAGCGAGGCTTTTTTTGAAAAATCGACATGCTTGTAAGGCATGTCAAAGTCGATTGGATTTTTGCATTGAGTTTCAATCGCATCGACTTTGACATCCCCTTAAGACATCCTGAGAGCATTTAAAATACGTCCAAGATATGTCCTAAACACGTCTAAAACCTATTTGTAAATTGTCCTAAAAATATTTAGTGTTATTTTAGAACGTTGTTAAAGGAAAAGATATGATTTGAACCTAGTAATTAATTAGAAACACAATAATAACAAAAACCCTTATTTAAAACAGAAGAAAACACAATGATTTACTATTTTCAGGCTTGATGTTAATGACAAATGATCCTTTAATAATAGTTCGCAGATGATATGTCAGAACCTCGATAGTCGTATAATTTCTGACTACGTCTATGCGGATCCATAATACGGTATTAGATGACTCGATACGGAGACTGGATCTAATTTTCACCACCAAAAATAAAAACTAAAACAAAGTCATTTCCGGACTGCCTGCACCAATGAGTTTAATCTTTAAAAATTTACTTATTTTTTGACAAGATAAATGTCCCTATAATATTTATGAAATTCTAAGGATGCAGTCACATGCGAACCGAAAATTTCACCCTTCCTGCTGACATGTAACTGCACACTAAAGCTTTAACTAAAACAAAGGTCTTAAATATTGTAGCGAGTTTTTTATTTCTTTTGTGGAAATTTCTACCTTTTCGCTACAAAAATATTGCCAATTTCTTTTGGAACTTGAATTATACCATATACTGCACACACTTTCTTTCAGTTAAATTTATGTCATTCATGTTAGATCTACGGTCTTCTAGTCTTCAGAGAAAGATATTGTCCAGTCACAATGATTTTAATCCAAAAATTCCTGTTTTTAACGTTGATGAAGAAGCAACAGGTTTCCAATGAAATTGAGAAATTGGTAGTCATCGTCATCCTGCCCCAGCAGTCAGTGGACCACACCGAGGTGGAAATTACCACCCAATGAAATGGAGAAATAGTTAGTCATCATCCTATCCCGACCCTGCGTGATTGTTAGATAGGGAAGGAAAACAACTATTTATTAATAAAACTTAAAACGAATTAACAAAACTTAAATTATTCTCGATTATGACACTCGGCAAAAACCGCGTCACGACTTGTCGGGAACCCGCAAATAAGTGTCGAACCATCTGATTGTCCCCAGTAGGCTTCCTCATTATCAAATAGTTTTCTTGTTTTTCCTTCGTTATTTTCAGAAGAACCCTTATTCTTATCCCTACGGAACAGCACCTGAAAGAGACTAGGAAAGGGTCGCTGACCATGTGACGTATGCTAACAATTAATCATGCGTAAAATCATTTAAATTCTGATTTCACGAAAACCACAGCTCCTCGCACGCTGATACGAAAGAAAAATACAAGAGACTTGACAACAAACGAAACAGACCTGTGATAAAAAAAGAGACAAACAAACGCCTCTCTAAACTCTAAAAATGCTTCGCCTACACATGGAAAATTAGGAAGAGTAAGTAACAAAACACTTCGTTACAGTCGATGATTCTCTACAGCTGGATTTTCCGACTCAAGCTCATTAGAATCAAAATTCTTTGAATTCGTGCCTTCTAATTGTGAAACTAATGGTTTTGGTACAGCAAACCAATTTAATGTCTGCTTACTAGAATTCATAAAATCTGAATCGCTAAAATGGTCACTACAAATATAAAAATTGTGAACCTGGTCGAGAGGAATGTCGTCGTCGATTATTTCTGCCCTTAAAGCATTGGGGATATCATTTTCGTTAGACGAGCTGGGTCGTTAATAGTCATGACCGGGCAAGAAATCAATTTCAGCAAAAACATCTGAATTGAGATGACAGATTCCTGAAACTCGAAATCCGCATGCAATATTTGAATTTGTTGCAGCTAAGGGCAACGCTGAGGTAACGATCAAAAGAATGTCGAATAGCTACATTTTAAGCAATTATTTTTTTTACTGATTCCTTGATATTAAAAGATGAACATCAAGTTCTAATTTTAATACCCTGAGAGGGCAATTAAACCACAAGGAAATGAGTCCAGATTGTTTAAAATCTTTACACGGATATCCGTCTAAAAAATCATCAAAAGTCATCTAAAGAAGAAAGAAGATTAAAAATAGACTAAAAAAAGTCTATTTGACGTCTAACCATTAAGTGTACCATTCAAAATTCTAGTAACATAAGTATTTGACAATAGTAGTTGGACAACAATTCTTTTATTAAAAAGCCTTAGCTTAGACACCAAATATAGCTGCGTTCCCAGAAGGAAGGGAAACGATCTACAAGGTTCGTTCCATATAATTTGAGAATGGTTTCACAGTCCAGACTATCAATTACTTGAGAAAAATTGTCCCAATGAGGGCGAAACAAGCTGATCAGTCTATCCCAACAATGCTTAGGAGAACGCGAATTGTCCATTTAGTGATCTTTGCTACCCAGGATATTAACCGTCATCTCATTTAGAACAGAGTCCATAATTTTATTGAAGAAACTACAAATAAAGACAATCCAAATCTGTGGTAAAAGCTTATAAAAGTCAATGGAAATGCAGTCCGATCTAGGAGCCTTCCGACTTTTGGATTTCCTCATGCTGTCAACAATTTCCTCAATGCAGCTAATGTCCGCACAGAAATTCTTTGCCCCTCAGAATTTGTACTAACTTTGCAAGCTTCTACCACGTCTTTCTCGCAACTGAAAAATTATTTCCCCTTCCCTGTACAAGACTGAACTAAGGAAGGGAATTTGGCGCCAGAAGAACAATCAAAACAAACTTAAGGTGAAGGACGAACAATTTAAATAAAAACTTAAATAAAACAATAACGAACGAGAAACTAACTGGAATCGTATTTAAACAAATTTTATTTCTCTTTCGGAAGAGCCATTCTCTATAGTCCACCTTGCTGAAATCCTCTTGTTGTGGAATGGATTGCGGGTATAGAAGTACAAATGTTGGGGATGCAAAGGGATTAAACAAACGTTAATGGCTGTAGTGGATGTGGTCACAATCTAGTCGACGTCAGGCATCTTCATATATATTATTTTTTTTGTTTACAACTAAAAAATCTAATCTGTACAGATGTACTCTTTAATCGCATTGTAATCAAACTCATTAAATTTTGCACAGTAACTTAGTAGTCCAAAAGGACATCTTTTAGATGGTGAATTAAAATTGTTATGTAGTAGATTTAAAATATTCCAATCTTCCTAACTTGTGCTATGTGTAACTCATACTTAATTTAATGGAAAGAAATCTGGAGTTAATTTTGCTGGATCACTATAAGATTTATTTCTAATTTCATAAGACGCAATCAATTAGATACAATAATTAATTTGTATATACAAGGAAACTTCACTTCCACGTTCTTATTCTTCTTCTTCTTCTTCTTCTAATTCACAACTATACTTTAAAGGTTTACAAATTTTACAAAAATGCAATAAAAAAGCTTTTTATTTATTCATGTCTATTTTATGTTTTGTTTTTATTTCTTAAACACTTTGCATCATGAAAGAGGTAATAATATTGAATTTAAAGTTTTTAATTTTCAGAACACGAAAAGATTTTTAAATAAAAATTTTAAAAGATTCTTTTCTTACCAAATTTTATATTTCTTAAAAAAAATTTTTAATAATGTGGTTGTAGAATATTGGCCAAAAGTTTAAGAGAAACGTCTAAAAAAGTTCATTAAAATTAAATAAGGTTTGTTAGGTGCTGCAATATTCTTTAACTATTATGTACAATAATTTTGTTTTGTCAAAAATGAAGAACACAAAATAAAATTAGTTACTCTATAAAATAAATTGATAATAATATCACTTTATGTCCATTTATGTGATTGTGATTAATTCACTTACTTAAAAAAAAGTATTGTAGAGAAGGGCTTACGTATTCACTTTGCAGTCACTCGACACGTCCATCTGCAAAGTGGAAATGTATACTAATTAAATTAACATAACCTTCAAAATTTAACAAATTTTAATTTTTTTAAACTGACTTATTTTTTTACAACTAAAATTTTTTCGACTTCAGTAGACATAAGTTTATCTAATTCAAATGCTAAGTTTCCCATTATAGTACTGTTATTTTAGCAAAGTTAGACAAAACATAACGCATTCAATTTTCTATTTAAAGCATTTACCATGATCTCCTTTGCATAATTTGTAGGATGATGAATTTTAGTAACCTTTAACTAAATGCTTAAACCCTACTCTCCAATATTTTTTAAAAAAATAAAGCTTTATTCTACAATTTATTATTGTTCTTTCACTTTAACCATTAGAATAGACAGTAATTGTACAGAGTTATAAAACACTTTACCCATTCGATTTATTAATATAATTTTATTATTTTACAGAAACCCCATTATGGCTGCTGCTACAAATAGCGCCAATAAAAAACGAACGGGATCTAGTGGTCCTGTTTCTGCTAACATTTCGGGATATAACTGCACTGAAACAACCAATCGAAACGGAGGACAGCAAAGGAGGACTTTCCAAGTTTGCCAAACTAGCCAGATCAGTTACCAGATCCAGATCGGTTCTTGCTTCCCAATTCACATCTCATATGCCAGCACTAAAAGAATCAACTATACCAGTTACAACAAAACAATCACATTTAGGTCCTGTAAGTATAATCTATTAATTAGAATATTATCTAATACTTTTCTAACGTGGTGAGCTTTCATAGAATATCCTTTTGAAAACGTTTGTGAAACATTGTTAAACAGTTGTCCTAGAGATAATCTTAGCTTGCCTTTGAGATAATGGTGAAAACACTCAAAAAACATAAGATTCCATAATATAAGCAAAACAAGATAAAGATTTCATAAACTTCAGAAACAATTTAATAATTTTCAGATGATGTCCTTGAGTGGGGATATAATGCCCCAATATCGTCAAGAAGCTCCAAAAACTCCTCCTCATATCCTCTTACATTACTGCGCATTTAAGGCGATCTGGGACTGGATTATTTTATGCCTAACTTTCTACACAGCCATTATGGTTCCTTATAATGTCGCCTTCAAGAATAAAACTAGCGAAGATGTTTTTCTCTTGGTGGTGGACACTATAGTTGATGTGATTTTCTTCATCGACATCGTGCTCAACTTTCATACTACTTTTGTCGGTGCAGGTGGTGAAGTTGTTTCCGACCCAAAGGTACTTATACTTTTCTAATTAAATTTTGTATCGTAAAATAACAGGAATTTATCACTTGGTACAAATAATGATAATGTGGCTGGATATGTCATACCCATCAGTTACTTAATTCTTAAAATTACAATCACTATCACGTTTTGAAACTTTGATTAACTGGAGTTATAGGTGCACAAAATATGACGGAACTATGTGGTAGTGTTTCTCAAATGGTTTTATATGCTACAAGGACATAATCATCGCGGAGGTATGTCATGATCAGCCACATTGTCAAAATTATATTGAATCAAAGACAAATAACCCTCTGGGCACAGAAAAAGTCATTGTTCTAGAAACTATTTGTCTTGTTCCATAACGGCTTAAGAACGTCCAATGTTCTAAAAACGTTTTTTAAGACGTTATGTAGAGGACATGAAACGTTCTAAAAACGTTTTAGGAACGTTTCTAGAACAAAGACGTTTCCGTGCCCTGAGGGAAATAAAAATAATTTTTATTACATAAACTTTTTTGTAATGCAAGATATTAACATATTTTAACAAATTAACTTGATATATCAACATTTAGAGGCAATTTTATGGTATGCCATGCCCAACGCATACTCGGTGTAACAGTTTCGCATCATACTTTACTGTGTACTACATGAAAAAATTAATAAATAGTTGTAGCACGTGAAAGTGAAGATTCAAAAGAAATCTTTGGATAGTAAGTAATTTTATAGTTTGTATATAGTTAAATTTTTGTATGCGAACCTATCCTATTATTGTAAAGATTCTATCTTATGCTCCCCTAGATGTCCTATAAGCTATTCCAAAGACAATTTCTTTAAGAATGCCACCTAGATTTTCTTAAAATTTCACCTAGTAGACTATAAAAATATAAACTTGAAGAATATTAAGATTAGAAGAATAATTCCATTGCTTATTTTGATATTCTCATATACAACACAAATTAATCTAGCTTTGAACCATTATCAAGCGAAGTTTCAAGTTTCTTATTCAATGTAACTTCTTTCATCATATTAGTATAGTAACCTTTCAAAACAATCATTGCAAAAAAGTGTTTTGCTGAGAATATTTATAATGGACAGACAAAACATTACATTAAACATGTTGTATATCAAATAATATAGATAATACATTTTCAAAATTGCTTAACATGAAATATATCTAAAAATATTCATTTCTAGTGCATTTACAGATTTGTAAATTTAATGTTATTTTTCTTTATTTTTAGGTAATGTCTTCGAATGTCTTTTAGACGTCTTTCGGACATCTTTTGGGCCAGATATAGAATGGCTTATAGGCGTCTTTTAGTTGACTTTATGATGTCTCCAAGTCATTACCACCATTGTACCCAAATTTCCGCGCACAAAAAAGTCGTATCCCTGTGCTCAATGGAACATGTAAGCGGAATCGTGAGTCGCAGCGAATTCCGTATCCCCACCATACCATCTACCTAATCCTTTCCCCTCACGACGTCATGTCACAAGACCTTTTTTCCCTTACGATGGATCACCATGGATTCACAATAGGTGGGAACTGTCCCCCACTCTACCTACATAATGGTCACTGACCTGACGATCAAAGGAGTCAGTTGAGGACTACGCTTGAAGTGCTGCGGATGTTCTTATTTTATGATTGTTTCGTTATTTAATTGTTATATTTCTTTTTTGTTTGTTACACTGTTGCGAGTTTCTGCCCTTCAGTGTTAGTTAATGATTCATTTAATTTTTATTTACCACGCTATCGTGAGATTCTGCCCTTCAGTGTTGGTTATTCTTTTATTTATCTAACATTTAATGTGACACGCTGTCGTGAGATTTCGCCCTTCAGTGCTGATTATTCATTTATTACAGTTTACTTATAAAACGTGAAATTCATCTATTCAGTGTTAGATATTAATATGTAAACTAGGTTGGTTTGTTAAAAATTTAACTCTATTTATTTGATTTATTATTAAAATATTTTGTAACTTTTATATTTTATTTCGATAAATATACTTCATTCAAAGATTTAAATACTATCTCGTTATTGACTATACCTATCCTCCAAGACACAGTAAATACAAAAGTTCCTCATTGTTATCTAACCTATAGGGGTTTTTGGATGAACTATGGTTTTTATATACTCCTGCCGACCGGACCAACAGCCGTGGATATCGGTCATTACTGACAAATCTCGTTAACTGTTTTTAAAACGACCTACACTGGTTTTATTGTTGCAGGATTAAATAGTTTTATAATTCGGACAATATACAAGAAGACACAACGTTCTGAGGACGTTCAAGTCCATTTAGACGATTTTTCAAAGACATATTAGGTAGCAAATACATGGACATCCGAATGATGTTCTAGATAACCATTGCCTCTATGCAAACTTGGAAGTCTATGTCTTTTCTATAACTCTTGCCTATTAAATATTTATATTATTTACATTAATTAAATTTCTAATATTCCTATGTGTGTTACTATGACTCTTCTCACTGTCTCTAAAACTATAATACTTTTGATGATAAATTTTATTTCTGTTAACAGGTCATCCGAATGAATTATCTTAAGTCTTGGTTCATTATTGATTTGTTAAGTTGCCTGCCATATGACGTTTTTAATGCTTTCGATCATGATGAAGATGGGATTGGAAGCCTTTTCTCCGCTCTCAAAGTCGTGCGACTCCTTCGACTTGGGAGAGTTGTTCGAAAATTGGATAGATATTTAGAATACGGAGCTGCGATGCTCATACTTCTTCTTTGTTTTTACATGCTGGTGGCGCATTGGCTTGCCTGTGTCTGGTACGTCATTGTGAGGTGATTTTATTCTGTGTGCACATCTTCTATCATCAATACATTGTAAATAATTACTATAACATCTGAATTGTACTCATCTTCTTAATCTTGTTCATTACTAAAATAACTGTACTTTCTTCTTTGCATGCTGTCACGATTCTTCTAAACTATCATTACTTCATATATCATATGACTTAATTTTGTCAACCATCTGTATTTCTAATGGGTTAATTTCTTAATTTAATCTGTTTGATCTCGTTTCCTTTTATTCATTTAAAAATTTACTCTCTGCTGTCTATGAATTGTGAAACTGTTCTAATTTTTATTTTCTTTCGTGGTTAGCATGCAGAAACTTAAATATTCTTTATTGAAGAAAATATGTTTGTTCCAAAGGTATTCGATAGGAAGATCTGATGCGGATGGTGGTGTACAGTATTCGTGGCTGTGGAAACTGGCTAATGTTACTCAGTCTCCGTACAGCTACTTGTGGACCAATGCTAGTACTGCACCAGAACTTGTGGCAGGACCATCTCGACGGACGATGTATGTCACAGCTTTATATTTTACTATGACTTGCATGACATCCGTGGGATTTGGAAATGTTGCTGCAGAAACTGACAATGAAAAGATCTTCACCATCTGCATGATGATTATCGCTGGTAAGAAATTTTTTTCGTAGTTTATTACTTTTTATTACAATTACATTTTATGGAAAATTGTTGACATATCAATTAAGTTACCTCAACACGCAGGCTAAAATAATGAATAAAAATTTTTTTTAAGCCTTGTTATATGCCACGATATTTGGACATGTGACCACCATCATTCAACAAATGACTTCAGCGACAGCTAAATATCACGATATGCTAAATAATGTACGCGAATTTATGAAACTTCACGAGGTGCCTAAAGCTCTTAGCGAGAGAGTTATGGATTACGTTGTAAGCACGTGGGCAATGACCAAAGGCCTTGACACTGATAAAGTGCTTAATTACTGCCCTAAAGATATGAAGGCTGACATTTGCGTACATTTGAATAGAAAAGTCTTCAACGAACATCCTGCATTTCGGTAAATATTTTGGGAATTTTACTCAAAGCGTCAGCATACTTCTTTCCTTCAGCTAAAAATGATTTAATTAATACTATTCAACTAAAAAAAAATATATATATAATTAGATGGTTGTAATTTGAAAAATTGTTCTTTTTTTAGTTTGGCGTCTGATGGGTGTTTACGAGCTTTGGCGATGCATTTTACAATGTCGCATAGTGCTCCTGGGGATTTATTGTATCACACTGGGGAATCGATTGACTCGCTATGTTTTATTGTGACTGGAAGCCTGGAAGTGATACAAGACGATGAAGTAGTGGCCATTCTGGGAAAAGGAGACGTCTTCGGGGATAGTTTTTGGAAGGATTCTGCAGTTGGTCAAAGTGCTGCTAATGTCAGAGCTCTAACTTATTGTGATTTACATACCATAAAAAGAGATCGTCTTCTGGAAGTTCTTGACTTTTATCAAGCTTTTGCCAATTCGTTTGCACGCAACCTTGTCCTTACCTACAATCTAAGACATCGCGTAAGTTTACTTTATATTTTGCGTTCAATAGAGTAGCTCTTTAGACTAAATAAATTTAAATTGCAGCATCGTGCGCAAACTGCGTAAGGCATTTTTAGAAATTTTCAGACCCTCACACATTGTAATACACTAAGTTTCTTCTTGCTCCTGAACTCTCCTGCAAATTTTACTAAAATACAGTTTTTCTTAACTGATCCGAAAAGGTTTTTGTAAAGTAATTAAAAATATAAATAGATATAAATCTAATTTGTATCTAACAAATTCCATACTTTAAATTTGTAGTAAGTCCAACAGTGATCCATTTTAGGAAACTTCCCCGGCGCCAGGTAATTAACAAATAAATTGATGAGTTAAAAATGATTTTAAGTTACCAGTATTACTATGTAAGAAAAAATGATCCAAACTAGAATTAATAGTGTCGATGTGTTTAGGCGTTAAACCGTATGTCCGCGACAATTCAAGAGGAACTGTATTTGAGTGGTAAATCTAGCAGCACGTTTATTGATGTTAATCCATTCTTTCAAAATTCCCCTCTGCTGAAAAGACGAAGAAAATTGGAATATGTTTGAAGTACTGTTGTTTGAAGCACAGTTGTATGACCCTTGTAGAACCATGGTCAATAATAATAATGATTCTATCACTCGGTTTTCAAATTAATTAAGTATTGAAGTCAACCATCACTCCGAGTCAAGCCAATGGAAAAAATTAAAACAATTCCCTTAACGTTTTGAACAGCTTAACTGTCCTCTTCAGAAACGTAAGAATTACAAAGAAATTAAATTACATAAGTATAAATATTTAAAAAAAGAAAGGAAGGGAGAAACGTCCTCGTCTCAACGCATGCGATTAGACACTAATTCACATTATAAGTTTTCAGAAGATATTAGTTGATAGATGAAGTGAATAATAATAATAAATGCTTATTTAATTTGACATTAAATTTTATTTTCGTGTATTATACAACCTTGTAATATGAAGTCAGAATACAAACTAAAAAATTTATACAAAGTAATAATACACCCTGATGCTTTAATGCCTTCCTTCCGGTTTCACGGCGTTTTAAAAAATCGTCAATATTTCTATCAAAAAAATACAGCTGTCGTCTTCAATATAATGAAAAATGAACAAATTTGTAAATACATTTGTAGGAGGGTTTAACTTAAAAGTCTGTACACTAAGGTTTGCTTAAATACATTTGATCGCTGATGAGACTGATGACAGAAGAGTTTAAGCCGAAATTAGGAGTTATATATAGTTGGCTAACTGTTGACCCGCCTTTTTGAAGTGTATGAGTAGAAGTGCGTTTACAAGGAGGGATTTTGATAGTTGTGGGGATTCCACGACGAAAAACTAAGAAAATGTTTCTTTTACTCTCTTTATCACCTCCCGCTGCATCAATGTTTTGACACTCGACATCCATAAGTTCTCCAAATCCACCAATCTCACAGAGTCCCTTTTAACAGCCACAAACAAGTTTACAATAAGTAAATGGAAACAACGAGTAAAAAGTTACAAAAACCAAACTCAGGGGAGCACTACAACACAAAAATACTCCACCTATAAAAATGGACCGAACTTAAACCGTTTAAGGTATTATTAAATTAGTAAGAAAATTCTGCACAATATATATTTTTACCAGAAAGGTATTATTGCAATATTTCTAGTTTTGTTCTTATTTTGACACTCTACCAATTTTGTAAACAAATACTTCTGCAACGAATATAACTGTTGAGAATATATGTATACCCAAAAATAAGAATAATAAACATTTGCTTCAATATTGCTTGTGATTCTTCACTTTTGTTAAAACATTCAACACTTCTGACTGTATTTATCACCATTTTCTTCATATATGGAGACATCCATTTTTCAGTAATACCGGACTGGATCATTTTTTGTAGTACAAAGTTAATCCTCTTCACGTAAGGAGATCGAGGAGTGAGCACTGTCTGACTTATGGAATGAGAGAGATAATCATTCTCCAATAGCTTTACTTTTGGCAAAAGACACTTGTCATTGGCATTTCGTAGAAGAAATTTAGCATTCAATGAAAATGCTATGCAGATGATATTTTTCTTCGTGACTAATTGTTGTAGACATTCTGCAGCTAATCTCTCAACTTTAATAGCTTTGTCTATTAAAGTCTGAACTTTTGGTGAGCCGAAAATTTGCAGCAACCGATAATAGTTTATATTGATTTCAATGTCTAGATCTGATTGCAGTACGTCGTCGATTGATTGTAAGGAGTAGGTGGTTTTCTTCTCCAAACCCATGTCTGTAAACGTTGTATAGATGACTGATGAATATAGAGTGCATGTTACCAATATGAAGAGGAAAATAACTTTTTCTTTTAACTTCCGAGGTTCACGCGGTGCTGATGATCCTAACATAATTTGGATCATATATGTCAACTTTAGATCCTCAGTTTTAATTTTAGCAATTCGCATGAATACCCATATTATCATTGGCAAACTCATGAGACCAAATATATTTAAAATTTTCCAATAATCACTAAATGTGTAGGACTGTTTTGCAAAAATTGGTACAACCAAACATAACTCGGTTTTAGTAATTCCTGTACTCCATTCAAAAATTTTGTTCTCACAGTCTGATAATTTCTGAAACTCCATTGAAATAAAGTGAATTTGTTTACTTATAATGTTCAAGTAAGCACCAGTGCTTTTGCTTTTATTTTCGCAATTCAAGTGGCCCCAATTTTCAGGATACTCCGCTATTAATTGAAAATTCATTATTTCCGACAGAGTTTTTAACTTTGTCCATCCCAATCCTGAATACTCTCTACGACCCATTTTATCCATTGTTACAAAAATTTCTGGCTCATAAGCAATCATGTTTACGGTCAGATTGTAACCGTGTAGATTTCGAGTTTTATCTGGAAACCACTGAACGTTAGGTGAGAATTTCTTAGACCATGAAATATTAGTATGTGGATTATAATAGTAAAGACGGATCTTCGGCAGACTTTTTGAAATTTCGTGATTCACGACACCTTTGAGAGAGTAAATTGAAACTACAGTCGCATCCAAAAAGTCATGAGACCACATTTCACGAAGCAAACTGTTGCATTTTTGCAAAGTTATTTTCTTCGTGAAGATTATTAGAATCTTCGGTCGCGATCGATTTGGTTTAAGATTACTTACGAGACTGAATGGTTTCTTCAGTGAAGAAAAATCCTGATCGTCAGCAATTAGCACAAAAAGCGCTTCTTGTGGGTCACTGATTATCAGTTTTGAAAACTGTTCATCTGCTTCAGCTGAAATTTTTATCATCGTAGCAGGAAATCGCGATACTATGTTTAAAAAAGCATTATCTACAGTGGAAATTTCATTAATTTTATTTTGATCTGTTAAGATAATTACTTGATGCACTTTGGCATGGTTTGTAATAAAATTTGTAAAATGTTGTGACCATCCGATGCCAGAACTTAAATCTTGATTCAGTAGTAAATTGAATAAGAAAATTGACAAGAGACCCGAAGCTTTAATAATCATTGTTTTAATATAATTGACACAGTTGTATTATATTTAAGAAAAAATTTGAATTAGACTGTAATTATTTCTTAAAGATAAGAGTGCCCCCAAACAATGTAAGACCAATTACAATAATACAAAAAAGACCTTCCTTCTCTTCGAAGTATAAATTTATACTGAGACACAATTTTTTCTTATTTCATTTTATGCAGATAAACATTTTTTAAACAACCTTGAGCATACAAATATTGATTTCTAAAATATAAATTCACAACAAATAAGTTAAGTTAACCTTTGATTATATCATAAACTCTTTTTTTGATTTTTAGAAAGATATGTGTAAAAGGTGAAAGAAAAAACACTGTCTTTCACTTTTTTTATAAAATAAAGGACATTTCGGTGGTGTGGTAGGTAACCGTCACTCAGGTCACTTTAATTTAAAAAATTTTTAAACTGTCATCGAATTTGTAGTCAGTGACCCCAAAAATCTCTAAATACTAAAAGATAACGAAAATTGCATTTTTTTAAAAAAAAAAGTCGGGTGTTAAAAGATTATGATAAAAAATGTTCTCTTTATATTAGAACTAATATATCAGAATGTGCATTTGAAGAATAAAAATTACTTAAGCAAAAATTAAATTGCATGCAGTTTCGTTTAAGGGAAAAATGAAGTTGTAAATTATATTTTAATATTCTTAAACTTGTTTTATTCACTTTCATAGTTTTTCAAGTTTTATAATTTAACAGTTTTTTTGGAGCATTTAAAAAGAAATATTTATCTTTACAGTATAAATCGTATATTGAGAGAAGACTTAATGTGACAATATCTTTAATTCGACGCAGAAAAAATGACTAGGTGGGATAGGGTATCGATAGCTATAAATATTTTCTTACTAGTCAACATCATACTTCATAAATCGTGAATTGCATTCAGAAATATACCCTTTTCAGACTACAAGAAGACTTAACAATTCAAAAAAATCTTTATATTATGCTAACAAACATTTTATTTAAAAAATGGTATCTTTTAGTTTGGATTTCCAGGATTGGAAAACTTTAACTATGTTATGAATTTCTAGATTTTTTTCAAATTTTTCAACTTTTGAGTTAAAATTCATAACATAATTAATGTCTTTCTAAAGATAAAAATCAGAAATAAAATATTTAGAAATTAAACTACTTTTGAAACTTATGATTTTTCTAAAGAGGTATATTTCTTCAGCCATCCGACAAGATAGAAACATCTGTCAAGATATGTAACGAAATTACAATAAAAACGACATATCACACTTTTTGTCGAAACATTCATTATTTTTCGTAGTTGATAAAGCTATATAGCAAACAATTAACAATCAGTAAAATTAATTTACAATTAGTATATCAGGCCGTTGTGAGTATAACGATCATTCGATGCTCTCCATAATGCCTAAAATTAGCCTACAATTATAATTAATGTATGTACATTGCTTCACAGAAATAGAATTTTCGTTATTGAATAGTTTCTCTGCATTTGGTATATCGTATTCCCGCATTTGCCTTAAAATCGACTAAAGAGTTTTTTGTTTCTTCTCCAGAAACAAGCAATCGTTTTACTTGTATAGCACTAAATATTTTTTATTCGTAATGAAAGTTTCGTAAATACATTTAATTTTTGACAAAGAAAACGCGTTTACTCAACCTTCGAAATGACCCTCAGGTAGGTCTCTCTTCTCTTATACCTTCGCTGTGCATTTTGCGACCCGACAATTCAAGCATTACTTTCGAAGTTGGATCTTGATCTAAAATTGATCTCGAATCTCTTAAATCTTCATCCATCTCCTGCAGTGGACCAACGCCCCAAACTTCAAGATGTTTTATATGAAACTCCTCCTTACAACTCAATTGCGCATAATTCAGAAAAGTTGTACACGATACACTCGACTTTCCAGTTCCATATTCACAGTCCAACCACAGACCTGGATAATTATGTTGACCTCCCATTAACAAACCATTGACCATCGTCTGCTGATGAAGATTCAAATACTGATAGTGATCATTATAATTACTAGACGGAAATGTTAGGATCTCGGGATTTAGTTTAAACAAAAAGCATGATTGATTTCCCTTAAAGTTTGGACTTAGTGACCAGCTGTCGGTGGCGAAACCCCCAAAGACATGATCATCCGTATCCTGAACGATTATAATCGTTGAACCTTGCATGGAAATTCTCCCCAACATCGTCGAGAAGGACTCGCCGTGCACTTGACTCGAGAAAAGAAATCTCCATTCATTACGCATTTCATGAGGTAAACTCAAATTGAGAAACAGTACGTCTCCAATTCCTAGAATACTGGGAAAATGTGGAATGTTCTCCAAACCCTTACAGATCGGTAACAAATTCAAATCGTGCAGTCGAGTTGATGTATTCTTATCGTTCTTCTTCTGGGAAACAAGAAAGAGGCACTGAAATACATGCGATTGGATTAATTTAAAAGTCGCCGTATGACTAAACCAATTGTCTATCTGATCGACCGTCAAGCTATCGCCATACTGTAATATATCTTCGCACAAACTCTTCGCCCGCATACTGATTCTCCGAACATTCACCGTACAGCCAATGCTACTCCAACTTTGATAGTGCGTGCTTGTGCAATTCTTCTGTATTCTCAAATAGGAACTAATTGTACTCTCCACATATTGAAGAAATGTTGTAGCGGGTATTTCGTGCTTCTGTTCGCCCTCGAAGAAACCATTGAAAATAAGACTTGTACGTTCCTCGGAATTGCCACGCACTGCATAAACATAGAGACGACCGAAATTTTCACCATTTATTGCTGAACTTCTTTTACCGGGTTCGTGGCACAGGTAACGTACGACAAATTGCAGGAGATCCTCGTCTAAATGTATTGACCAATGCTTGAATATGTCTTCACGCTTAATCGAACCAGAACTTCGGGACATTGACTTGAAGAGGTTCTCCACTAGAATTAACTCTTCCGCTGAGAGAATGTTTGCAGAAGATGCAGATCTGCTCGATCCATGGCCCATCTAAAATTAATGGCATATTTTTAACACTATTTTCGATTATTATTAATCAGAAATTGTGCAAATTTTGAAAAACAAGTTAACCCTCTGCTGATGATAACTTATCCCCGCTCTATCTCCCATAGAACCTAACTTCCATAGTCCCGACCAGGTGTCCAAAAGTGACAATTTTTTATTATCAGCAGAGGGTTAATTTGAAAAACGAATTTTAGGAAAAGAAAGTAAATGAAAAATGAATTTTAGGAGAGGTACATATTATGTCAAGCAGTACAGTGCAAAAATAGGTGTCTTTTTTATATCTTAAAGTAAGATGTAAGATGGAAGTATGGTACCTTACATCTTAAAATAAGATGTTTTCTTAAGTATCTTACTGATATCTAAGATGCATTATATGTTTTAGCAGTGATGAAGATATTTCTTCCATCTTAGAAAAATAAAGAAAAGAGAAGTAAAAAAAAGTAAGTTTTTTAAAGTATCTTAAATTAAGATGTTTCTGGCGCAATACAATGTTTATCGATAAGTTACTTGTGAATTGTAAGATGCGACAAAACTGTAAGTCACTAAAAATTAAGATGCATAACATGTTTTACATATGAGCCCATAGTTAACCTCAAAACATTTTTCCCAAAAAATATGCTGAAAATGTGTACGAACATACTTTTAACATCTTAAATTAAGATATTTTAAATAACTTAAAAAATATCTACCAAAACATCTTAGAAATTACTACCAAAACATCTTAAATTAAGATATGTACTTCTTTTTGCAGTGTAATTATCAAATTGGCATATATCATAAATTCAAGGTCACATTTTAATGACACATTCTGACAATTGAAACCTGGTACTTAAGTGCGAGTCATAATTTTGACGAATTAATAACTGCTCTTTAACTTTAACATCTTAGTATAGTCTCTAAATCTTTTTTAGTTTTAAGCTTTTTGGCAGTGATTATTTTATTAAAACACCAGAATTTTCAGCCATTTTTATAAGAATAATTTGTCGTTTCATTTGTTTATCAAATATAGGTATATTCCTTTAAAACATATATTGTACTAGTTTTATATGTAGATTAGATTAGATTTTCACGATGATATTGAATAATTTCTAAAAATTTTTCTCAGATGGTTAAAATACATTTTTTAGTATAAAATAATTATACGAGACTTAATGTAACAACAAATATTACCGCATAAAAGTATATTTCAGAATTTTCAAATCTGAATAGCATGTTTAAAAATATGAAAATCTGAAGGTCCCATATGAAAAAAATAAAAAAATATTAAAAAATATTAAAAATATGAAAATCTGAGGTTGGGGTCGTTCATAAACTACGTCCCACTCCTAGGAGTGGGGGGTGTCAAGCTGTGTGTGACGAAGTGTGGAAAAAAAATTTTTTGTATGTAAAAAATGTGACGAAGGGGGGGGAGGGGGGTAAAAATAAGTCCGAAAAAGCGTGATGTAGTTTGTCAATGACCCCGTTTCTATATGAAAAATTTTAAATAGAAAATTATGAAGTAACTCCATTCCAAAATTCTACGATTTTTTGAAAATAATTGAAAATAATTTTGCGAAAACATTTTATTCTACAAGTAAATTTACAGAATGATGAATTGAAATATTTAATTTTTTCCTAAAAATAAATTATTGATAATTGTTTACGCGACATAATTGAGACGCGCACAGAAGAAAAGTACCTTAGAAGCAAAATATTTTAGGTTATGTTTAATATTTTTCGAATAAATATATACAAAAGGGGATCAACTCTCAATATAAACTCAATAATTTGCTTTTAAGGTACCATTTATAAATAGTAGGTTTTTTATAATAAATAAATAAAATTCTAAGAAAATTAACTTCAAAGTGCAAATTCTCATTCTCGTCGCTTGTAAATTTGTGACATTGAAAGTTAAAATTAATAAAAATTAATTTTGAAGTCAAAGTAAAATTAATTTTTCTCTTCTATTAATTAAATTCTTTTTGGAAACTTTTGCTTTTCAGATATTTGGCAAATCTTTCTTCAAAAGCAGAATTTATTAAAACTGTTGAATTTAATATAAATTGACTTTAAAATTAATTATTTATATATTTATAAATAATATAAAATATATATTGTAGGCTTTTATATTTATATTTATATAATATTAATATTGAATTTATTTTACATTATTGAGATTCAAATATAGACAAACTCAAACTAAAATTAAAAATATTTGCATCAAATTTTGCAACATGATGTACTCATTTTTAATATGAGATTCTGCGAGGTCAGAAGACGTAAAGAAAAGTGAAAAAATTAGATTTGAAAATTTTTTGGTAAAACAATGTTTTTTTGAGTAGGCAATTAGTATTTGGTAACAAAAAATAGAATCTCTTTAATTTGCGTTCAAAAAATTAGAGATTTATTAACATAAACAGCGATATAGGAATAGTAAACTAAGAGATTTTTATGTGCCCGTTAGGTGCTGCCCTCTGGTAATGTTTTTATAATGCTTATGTTTTTTAATTAATACAATACCCAATGGGAAGTAAACGATTGGTTCAATAATGGGCCATGCTTGGCGAACTCCGTTCCATTATTGGAACATTAATGGCAACCATCATTGGACCACCAATGGTTTAAACTTGGGATGATCACGCTACTGCCAATGATCGGTAGCCAAGCATCGGGCCAATATTAGTTGCCAAGGAATTGCCAAGGAAACAAAATCGATTTTCAAAAGTTTGATTTTTTATTGGCAGCCAACAAAAAACCAAGGTTTTGAAAATTGATTTTTTTTAATTATTAATTAAAATTTATTTTTAAAAAATATATTTTTCAAAAATTTATTTTAAAAAAATATATTTTTTAAAAATATATATTTTTTTAAATTAATACAACATATTAATTTAATTTGTCACCTCTGGTAAAACAAAGATGAAAGACTGATAAATTCCCTCACTTTATATTTTACAGTGGAGGGATAACTGTGAATGTCTTTGCGAGAGAGGAGCAGGTACTTATAGAGTCAGTGAAACAGGTCACAAGCGAGAAGGAATCACTAGCATGCACTCTGGCGGCGCTTGTCGGAACTGTTTTCTGGCGCGCATGCATATCCTGACATTATCGACACAGCGCTTGGCAACCAACGTTGCGCCACTTCCGACAAACGCCGCCAGAGTGCATGCTAGTGATTTCTTCTCGCTTGTGACCTTTCTCACTGGCTCTATATAAGTACCTGCTTCTCTCTCGCAAAGACATTCACAGTCATCCCTCCACTGTAAAATATAAAGTGAGGGAATTTATCAGTCTTTCATCTTTGTTTTACCAGAGGTGACAAATTAAATTAATATGTTCTATTAATTTAAAAAAATATATATTTTTAAAAAATAAATTTTTGAAAAATATATTTTTTAAAAATAAATTTTAATTAATAATTAAAAAAAACCAATTTTTAAAACCTTGGTTTTTTGTTGGCTGCCAATAAAAAATCAAGCTTTTGAAAATCGATTTTGTTTCCTTGGCAATTCCTTGGCAACTAATATTGGCCCGATGCTTGGCTACCGATCATTGGCAGTAGCGTGATCATCCCAAGTTTAAACCATTGGTGGTCCAATGATGGTTGCCAATTGTTTTGCCAAGAAAAAACCATTGGGTACCAAGCATGGCCCATTATTGAACCAATCGTTAACATTGGCAACTTCCCGTTGGGTAATATTATAATTATAAAATTAAAAAAGAAGGTAAATAAAACAAACAAAAATTGGGACAATGATAAAAATATATTTACTTCAACATTTCGAAATATCTAAATGATTTTCTCATCAGGGATGAGTCTATCAAAAAATATAAAAAATTAAAATAATTACAAAGAATAATAATTTAACAAAAAAGAAAAAATAAAAAGATATAAGATATCTTATATCAAAAATTAATAAGTCAAAAAAAAGACATACAAAATTAAAAAAAAAAATTTATTAAATTTAAATGTAATATTAATAATTAAATAATATTAAATAAATTGACAAACACTGGAGCAAAAAAATTATAATGAAAGTTAAAAATTAATGAAGTAAAATAAAAGGCAAAACATTGAAAAAATCCAAAAAAGATTTAAATAAGTTAGGATTAGCAAGAAACTAAGTAGATAATGAAATTATAGTAAGACAGAATATTCAATATGAATTTTATAGAAACTAAATAAAAAATAATAATATAAACATAAAGAGAAATAAAAATGAAATTAGTGAAAATTATAATAATCATAATTGTAAAAACTTGTTTAAATTTCAACATTATCGATAAAAGAGCCGAGTGTATTACTCATAAAATTAAAAAATTTAATTTTGTTTAATTTATTAATATTTTTATTTGCAAACTAAGATTTTAATTATAGTAATTTAATATAATTTCTTGTAATCAATATGAAAGCTTAGTTCAATTCATACATATATAATTGAAAGATTCGAGTACCTAACCTAAATGTTCTGTATATACACAGTTTTTAAATTATGCTATTTCATTAGTTTTTTAATTTGTCTTCTAGTAAAATACTATATAAACTATACAAATTAGTCAGAAGAAAAGATTTTTAAATTAATTAATTTTTCTTATTCTACTAGTGTTTCGATTTAAAATGAATATTCAAATTTTGTATTTATTTAAATTTTGAAATAAATAAAAAATTATTTAGAAGCAAAAAAAAGAAGAGAATAATGACAGCATTTATCTAAGTAAAATTTATTTCATTTTAAATTACAATGTAGCGTGACTTTAGATTTATAGTACTTTAAAAATTAATATTCGAATAAGTGAAATATATAATTATGCAATCTGATTTTCGAAAATAATAATAATATTAATAATAATGATAATAATATCATCAAAATTGAATAAATAAATAAAAGAATGTAGAATGACGCAATTGTTGAAATAAAATCCATTTCGTTTTAAGGTATAAATAGTACCATAATAATAACGTAAATAAATAAAATTCAAAAGTTTTTAATACAAATATACAAATTTACAAAAATATTTACATATACACACATATACTATCGTCTACATATTTTAAACATATTTTTAAAAAGTATGCAATAAAAGAAAGTTTATGGAAAAATTAACAAAAACTTTTTATAAAAATATTACAAAACATTGAAAAAAACAGTGACATATATACTAAAATTTGATAGAAGTAAAAGACACTTTATATTAATTGGAAAATAAAAAAAATTTAACATATTAATTAAAAGCACAGGTGGAACAGTAATCAACATATCTAATTTAAAAATAATAATATACATAAACGACTTTTAGTTATAAGTGATTTCTTAAATTTTCAAAAGTGAAATAATGCAAAATATTTCAGAGATTTGTTCATTTCTAAAAAGTTACTATAAATATAACACAAGTGTTTCTATTTACACCGATGAGTTCCCTTGAAAACAGATATAAAACAAAACATATAAAATTAAAAAAAAACCCAAATTAGGTCAATTCCTCCAACAGCTGAATAAATAAAATTGCCATTTTAATAATTAATCAGCATTGTCAAATTGTGAAAAGAAAAGAAATGAATATTAATTGAAATGAATGTCAATAGTTTGAAAAATAAATAAAATTTGATGGATTTTATAAAAGTAAACAATTTTAATGAACGGACCTTTTCTATAACAGTTGTTTCATGTACAATAACTATCCATATACTTTCATTTATTCACTAAAAAAGTCTTTCGTTTCACAATCACAGTTATATAAATTTTTAACTATATGAAATTTAACTTGAACATCGAACTCTTTAAACTGGGTAACAAGCAAATTGTTATTGAATAATGGGAAGATGAGGAGAAATTAGTTGTTATATATTTAAGGTTATCCTATTGCTCCTTCTTATCGTCTGCTTCTTCTACTTCTATCGACTCTTCAGGTAGCGCTTGCGCGACCCGCGTATTTCATTCATTACATTTTTATCTTTCAAGATATAAAATATAGTAATTTTAGATTCAAAAAAAATATTATTTCAGATTTCTTAATTAAATTCACCGCTATTTTGAATTTATATAAAACATTTAAAAAAGTTTAGACAATAAAAAGTTAAAGTTGGGCAACAATAATATAAATTTATGACAATCATGTATAATATATAGCATATCTCGCAATAATTCAGAGCTCCACAAAACAATTTAAATTTCTTTTCCCCTTATTTCCAGACAGAAATTTAAATTTTTTCCTATTATAAAAAAACCCAAGGGCAGTTCAATTATAAAAAAAGACAATTTTTCAAAGCAATAATTTAGGTAATTTAAAACTTTAAAAATTGGGTCTATTTTTAAAATAAAATTAGCTATACTGTAGCCAACTTCTCTGCATTATTTTCAAAAATTACGGTAAAATATATTAAAAAATTGACTTATTATATTTAATCGAATTTCTTATAGAAACTTCAATTATTTTTATAATTTTCAATTATTTACAAAATATTTATATAAATTTATTTAAATAAATATTTATTTATTATTGATTTATTTATTTTATTAAAATTATTATTAATTTAACTTTAATTTATAAAAATTCAATTCTCTTTAAAAAATAGAATTGAAATATTTGAAAGAAACTAAGTTTTCAAAATTTCGAATAAAATTTTTCGCAAATTGCGAATTTGAAAAAAAAATTTATGTTAGTTTTTTTAAAAAATTAACGAATAATTAATAGATGTTTTATAATTATATTTAAAAATTAAATTACTATGTAGATGCTTTTTAACACTAACATAAATATTCGATTGTGACTGTCTGTAAAATATAATTATTTATCAATAATTAATAAAATTAAATTCTTGAAAAATTCAATTTTCTTAAGGGGAGGGTAAACCTATATTTTTAACTATATATGAAGAACATATTTTAAATATTTAATAAAATTATTTTTATAGTAATTTTTTGAGAGGAAATCAAGGGTCATCAAAAAAATTGGTCAGAAAATAATTTGACCCTTTTTGAATTTTTATTTTTTCTAAAAATTGATAGATTTTAAAATCCATACGCAATTTTATAGAAAATATGTTTTTGTACCCATAAAAAAATTTTCGAATGATAAAATTAATATTTACAAAAGTTTTAGCATTTAAAAAAAAAAGTATAGGATAAGAATTTAAAAAAATATGATTATTATTAAATTTTATTATACGAAAACTCATTTGTTTTTATGTTCTGAAATTAGTTAGAAAAAAAACAAATGAGTTTTCATATAATAAAATTTAATAATAATCATATTTTTTAAATTTTTAAACTGAAAATACTTCTTTATTTAATTTAAAATAACATTTATGTTTAATAAAAAATAATATGAATTCAAAATTTGTATTTGATTCTTATTCATTAAGGGGAATAATAATAAGCCAACACTAAAGCATAATGTACTATTTAGTCAATCAATGGGATCTTCATTGTCACTTATTGTATAGCTCTCCCCCTAAATTTTTGTTGACTGAATTATTTTTATTGCATTGTCCTCCTCACTATCTGTTTTCTTTATTCTCTATCTTTCAGCTTTTCAAAGGGGAATTTTCTGTACGATCTTTATTATTAGGGGAGAGGCGGGTAAAACGGCGCATGTAATGTAAATACTTTAATTATATAAAAGTAATAATGTTATCATTACCCAAAAAAGTAAAAATCATTAGTTCAATATTCGAACTAACTTATTGTGCAGTGAAAATCGCATTGACTTTGAATAAATAAGTTAATTATAAAGTTTTAAAAAAAGTGCACCTGCGTCAAGTATAAAAAGAAGGAGAAATTAATTACAATGTTAAACAAATTTAATTTTGATGCAAAAATGTATCTTAATTCATAATAATTATACAATAAATAATTTATATAATGTAATAATCAATTTTCGAAATATAATATTTCTGACTCTGTGACTCTTAAAAAGTCTTGAATTTTTAAAAAATAAGACCATGATAGTTTTTCTATATATAATCTTTTTTAATTGATTAATATAAATTGAAATGTTTTTTCAAAATACATAAAGTTGTAGTAAACTATATTTAATAATAATAATATAACTTTCTGGGATGTACCTTACATACTGTAAATATGGAACAGATTACTTACCTTTCATAACAGAAATTTTGTGCAATTCCAAACTTGACGAAAGGGCATAAGAAGTCTTTTGGATGTCATTCGAACGGACATAGACGTCAGAAGGATGTCTTAAAGACATCCCATGTCCCAGTGCCCACAATTTTACTTATTATTTTAACCCTTTAAAGGCGATATAGAATATGAAACTTGGAACTAGTTTTTTAAATGTCCTCTGTTTTTCAATGTTTAGTTTTTAAGTATTTCTTGTTTGATGATAATTTGTGTTTCAAAAATTTTTAATTTAAGTTATTTTCAGCTAATTTTTCGGAAAGTCGCTGATGTTCGCCGTGAAAGGGAATTAGCAGAGAGGAGAAAAAATGAACCACAGTTGGACCAATCCCAGGATCATCTTGTTCGAAAGATTTTTTCAAGGTATGAATAACATTAATATATTTTTCGCATCAAGACGGTGAATGTTTATTTAATTACTCAGTGGGTACAAAAACATAATTAGAAACTTTAATAATTTTATATTTGGGTAAAGGTCTATAGAAGGGACCCACATATATTATGCTCTACTTATAGATAAATTCGCAAATTTAAATTTATTTAAAGATATACCTATCTTAGACCTATCTCAAGTACTTTCCTTATTTGTTTTAATTCATTTTTAAAAATTATATTATAAACAAATTGTTGTTTTGGGGATGTTATTGAACCAAGGATGTTTTTTTGCCTACTGGGTACTATTCTCTGCTCTAAATCAAATATGTATAACTATTTTATATTGATTTGATAAAAAAAATTAAGACTACTTTTTCTCTCTTTGGGTTGCAAAAATTAGTTTATACATTATTAAAATCCATGTGAAAAGCAAATTCATCGGAAGATAATATTTTAATGCCTAATTCCTTGGAATTAAGAGTTTATTATCTATTTGTCAACTGTCAGTGTTCAGAATTTTATAAATTCTAGAACAAAGAGGGTTTGAAATTAATAAGATGATGCAAGTATTTTCAAACTGAAAAAAAATTTAATCAGATAACCTTTGAGTCATTAAAGAATTTCATGAAGTATACATAATCAAAAAAATAAATATTTTCTGCTACGCTCTTATAAGTTACATGGTTTTTTAAACGTTTCTAAAAATTACGCATATTTGATTTAAGGTAAACTATATAAGCTATTTACTAATTTTAAGACAGACAAAGTATTTTATTTTCATTATTCAACTTTCTTTAAGAATTTAATTAAACGTATTCATATAAAGTTTAAAATTTTTCAAAAATATTTTTCATCAACCAAACAATTTTTTGAAATAAAAATAAAACTAATATCAATATTTTAAAACTATTTATTACATATTTCAACAAAAAAAAAGTATTTCATTTTAATATTTAAGATGTTTATTTACTTCTAAAATTTTCAGCCTTATTTAACTGTCATGTTATAACTATAAAAATCTTAGGCAAGCGTGAAACGAGCAACACTAAAAAAAATTCATATTTAAATTATTTCATTAATAAAAAACATTGGATAATATAAAAAATTATACAGTGTGATATAAATTGTCAAAAGAAAGAAATATGATTAGTAATTGCGGACACTTAATTGTGATAAAAAATGTTGATAAAAATACTCTTGATCATTGCCTGGTTGGCTATGTACGAGAAGATTTAAAACTGACGTGGAACCACAAATCAGCATAAGCAGTATCGCAACCGGCTTAAATAGGTCTCCTGAGCGATCGGCTCAAGACTCCGACGAAGAACTCACCGTATCCGTCCTGCCGCCATGGCCAAATTTTAGGCAATTTCATTTTCTTTATACTTATTTATTTCTCTCCTTTTTCTTTCTTTCTTACATATATCTTGGCTACAATCTTTTCTCGTATTTACACTTGTTACCTATTCTTTTTCCTATTTATATTATTAATATTTATTATCTTAATTATTATCTTAATTATGGTTGTTATTACTATTATTAATACTCCCACTATAATACTTTACATTATCATTAATATCATCTAACCTTCGGAGCGCATACAACCTTATAAAACCTTATACGTATGACATAAAACCTTATTCGAAGTTAAATTTTTGTATCAAATTTTTTCTTACATTCTACATTTGAAATATTTGGGGTTTCTGATATGTTGTCAAGAAGCACTATCAAAAACTTATATAAAATAAATATTTTTTACTAACTTATGATATATGTATGTGTGCTCTGAGGGTTAAATTAGTTGCAAGCGAAATATCACATTTCAATATATAATCCCATATGTAATGTACGCATATTTTTCTTATTTTAAATATCTATTTTCATTACTCATTTTACTACTTTTCAAATAATTGATTAAATTATAAGAAATGGCTTTGGTCTAGCATTAAAGAGCATTTTGAATTTTATTACTTATTTAATATTATCAGGAGCAATTTCGCGTCTTATCTATAGATTAGTCGAATATGGATGCTGATCTTTTGTAAATACTATTCACTAATCATTTTGATATCTTTTCTTTAGATTATTATAAAATAAATAAAAAGATGAATGTTAATTCTTCTTTTATATCGATCCTTTTAATATTAATAAAACTTTCATAACTCATACATCAGTAATTTTTAGATCTTAAAATTACAATCACGCTGCGATTACGCGGGAAAATAAGTTTCGTATAAACAGAACTAAACTTATCAGTCAGAGACCAAAGCCATCACCTAACATATTGATCACGATCATGCACCGCCAAAAATGTGACGTCAAGACACGCTACAAAAAAAAATTTTGTCACTGACAAGTGGGAAATCGAATCTTGTAATAACAAAACAAGTTAAAATTTAATTTAATTTCAGAACAACAGATAAGACAACTAAAAATCGATAGAAATAAGAAAATTGTTTCTCACACACCTTAAAGTATGGAAATGAAAATATTACAAGCGTAACCCTCCGCTTATCCAGTCAGACCTCTACGCTTTCATCTTTTTATTTACAGAATAGTTAAAAACTTGTGCTCTTAGGTTTCATTATTAACATTGAAGAATTATTCTTTTCATATATTTTAAAAAACTGTAACAACCTTATTTAATTTCGTTCTTTCGACATGCACCAAAAGGAAGAAAAATTTAATAGACCATTCCCATATAGGAGACCCTATAGGAAAAAGTACATTTTTCCTACAGAAAATTTCTTGATATGAACTTACATATGTTCCTAAATATAAATATAAAGAATCCTATAATAATTTACATGGGATCCTTATAGAATTCCTTGTAGGTACCTATATAGGATTTTCCAGTATAGGGAAACAACAACAGTTCTGAAGAAACGCCTAGACAAATATCAAAAGTATAAAGTTTTTTTGTCAACTAAAAGGATCGATATAAAGAAGTTTATTAAAATTTTCTATTGTACATGAAAGTTGTAAGAAGCCTGATGCTGTCTTGAATATAAGTTTAAGTTTGACTGCGTAAGATTATAATGCTGATGTATAGAATAAACCTTTTGATATTCCAATCATTATTTATATAAAATATTTTTAATAATGAAAATACGTAACGTTTTAATGGCATAAATACTTGAAATAAAATGCAAGCTACGAAATATAGATTAAGAAATCCGTTGTAAGGCAAGGGGACTAAAAATTTCATATTAGGACAAATATCATGATTTTATCATAGAGGCTTCGAATAAATGGGCATTAATGTACTTGAACTGCTTCCTAATTAAATTTTATTCTTGTTTATTTTTACAAATATAAATTTAAACAATTACACAGTTCGGAAATTTTAATACCCATAAACTAGAGAACCTACAAAGCAACTTGAAACTTCTTACAAAGAATTAATAATTGATCATAAATTTGCTTCATACTGTCAAAATTTTGATATATTTTGTCTCTGTATGATCATAAAACTTCCCGCTGAAAATCCGTCGGTTTATAGTAACTGTAACATTTTCTGAAATTTCTGGGCCTAATATTGGATTAGAAATTAAAGTTCGTTGCAGTACCTAATGTTACAGTCTAGTCGGAAGACCTGACTTTAGTTTAAAATATCTCAAAATGATGCTGCAATTTTTGAACTATTTTTTAAATTAGCATAAAAATAAAGACTACTCTAGTTTGTGGGTATAATAAAATAGTGAACATTATTAAAACCATTTCTAAATGTTAAAGAACTTTCAAAAGCTTGCATTCTAATTTGAATCGCAACATACAAATAAATCGCAAATTTAAAATTCTTTTAGAATTTTTAAACCCTTATTTTAATTGGGAAGCTGACGTTAGTAAAAATGAAAATGTATTTTATAAGATAATTTTCCGGTTAACTAATGTGTATTATGAAAACAGATTGTTTATAACATACTATAAGTTTTTTTTGTTTTGAGAAACATTATTTAGAAATTCACTCCTCGTTTTTTATATCCGAGTTCTATCAGTCTTTTGTACAGGAGTTTACAAATATTCCCATTCGGTTTGTACATAATAATGTATTATTTAAATTCTTTTTGCACTGGGTGCCTATGATTACTGTTTCTAATCACAGGCACACCTCATACGACTGTTAGCGTAGAGCCAGATTGCAGATCTTCATGCGCAGGCGAGGTGGACGCGTCTTTACAACGTCAATCGAGTTCAAGCTTGCCTACCAAGACTTGTATCATGCTGCAACTTTGATTTGAAGTTCCGTTAAACATAATGTCACGCTGTGAAAAATGTAGAATTAGACGAATCAACATTTGTGGCTTAAAGGTTAGTGACTCTGATTCGGAAATGACCGACTCATCATCGGGGATCCAAATAGGGTCCTCTAACTAACACTAGGGAAACAGCCTTTAAAAATAGACAGACCTTCATGAGTTGTTGAAAAGTCTATTAGGATAGAAACAGTCAACTGAGATTTTGTTGACAACTAACGTTGACTTATTTTGTAATTTCATTCCGTGGCGTTTACTGACAAAGATACTGATTACAGTGTGTGTATATATATATATATATATAATTTATTTTCATAAAAATACATTTTTATCCTGTAGGCACATCAAAGTAGGTTGCTCGTAAACACTGCTGGATTTTTTACCCTAACAGCCTGAGTAGATAATGCCATTAACTAATCAAAATTTTATATATTAAATATACCAATATTAGAAATAACGCTAACTAAAGAATCCACGTACAGTATCATGTAGTTGTCACTTCTATGTATTATTCTAATTCTGATTCCCAAACATCACAACTTGTTACACATGTATAAAGTGTTTTATAATGCAAGGTTTACAATATCACGGTGTAATATTCAGGTAAGACTACTTTTCTTATCAATTTACCTGTAAACTTGTCACAGTGGTCCTGAAATTAATTGTACCCTAACTTTCTTTCCTCTTTGATATTTATTTATAATAATGGTAAGGAGGTTTAAAAAATAAAGTATCAAAGTTATGAATAGTTTCAAAAAATAGAAATATAAACAATTTTAGGTTATGTTAACAATATCCAGTGGATACAAATACAAAAGTTTTGTCAAAATAGTGTTTTTTTTTTAATTTAATGTCAATTAAAGAAATGTGCCTAAAGCAGACCATAAACATTTCTCAAACAAATTCGAAATTTATTTAAATTAAGGACCATTGTATTAAGGCAAGACTCCAATTATATTCTGTTTTCCGGCAAAGGAGGTCTTGAAAACATCTTATACAATGAAAGACGTCTATTGGAAATAAGGTGACTTTAGAACGTCCTCTGAATGGACATGGATTTTCAAAATTTTGAAGACAACTTACGACACCATGCTCACTGGAATTAATAAATTGATTAAATAAATATTTTAAAGAAAGTATTTAAATAATATTTTTACATTGTTTTTTTTAAATTGTAAAAATTGTAAGCTAATTATATTATTATGGTAAATATGTTTGATCTGATTCAGTTCGTGGTTTAGGTCAGATTCAGCTTTTGGACTAATCAAATCAGCGGAGAACTACAGTGTTTAAGTTAGATAAAAAAAAATAATTCAAAACAGTCATTGAAATTCAATCAATGCCTCATACTGGCAAAAACTAACAGGTGTTCCAACCTAGTCAACACATCCCGAATATTTTTACCAATTAAACCTTGAAACCTAAACCCTCTGGAGGCGCTGCAACTGAACCTCGTCATCTAAAAAGTAATGTTTCTTTGCTAGTACAACTGTCCAGTCATATGTGACTAAGTGTTTTGTATTTGACTATCGTTTTTACATGGCTTTTTATGACTTTGTTATGAAACGTATCGTTCATAATTTGTTTGAACAGTTTTTTGAAGCTCGCGCAACGTTTTAATTAAACAAGTTGTAGGAGAAAAATGTTGTACGAGTTTCAAGAACGCCTTCTGTTCATAATTATTGCGAATTGTAGTATAAAATTTAAATAGTATTCTATGGGACTTGAGACGTTAAGGTAAGTTCGTTTTGTGACCAATAAGATTTGTCAAGTAATATTTGGGAAGAACACTATACCATCGGAAATTATCAGTTCGATCGACCGGATTGGATAAAAAACAGAACTCCACTAAAATCTTGATATCTTTAATAAAAATGAAGATAGAGACTAAATTCTACGGAAGTTTTTTTTGCTTATAAAATTATTTGCTCCTTTTAATACTATCTTTCTTATTTAATTTTAGTCCTTGCGTGAGTCTACTTCGCTTCCTCAAGGGCCGTCCTTAAGACTCTGCAACCACCGCTGCCTGCAATATAAGTGGTTGACACATTATTGACAAACTTTTCCTTGCACAAACAGCAGGTTGGGTTTTTTTACAGTGATGACACCGGATGACCATTACCCTTTTTAAATTGGGCAACAAATAAAAACCATTTTTAACGTGTCCCAATTTCTCCAGCCTGTTGCGTCCTAAGACCGTCACTCTCCTGCTTCCTGGCTTTACCATAACTTCAGACAACACTTGTTGCACCTCTGCTTCTTGAGTAAGGCAATCCAAATCACGGATATCGAGTTTAACTCTTCGATCCATCGACTGCACCTTACCCATACTTCCAACCGCCTTGGTGACCTCAGCGAAGAAAGCGTCCTTGTTGGAGTCTCCTCTTATCTTAATCAGAAGGTCTTCCTTCTTTGTAGCTTTTGCTGCTCCTATTCTCTTATGACAGGTGTCCGGGTTGACCTCTTTGCGATGTTTACCCAGAACGTCAGCATACAATAAACCTTGGCCAACTCGGATCAGCACAGCGGATCCTTTTGTCCCCATTCTTTCCAATCGAGGAATCTCTGGCTTCGGTACTTCCATTTCCATTGCAGTCACTTCATCATCTTTGCGACCTCCAACTCCATTTTGTCGAGGCAAGTCGCCTCCTCTTTTCTGAGCCGCAAGTATATCTCTCGAGTCTCTTCTATTGCCTCGTTGTCTACTTCTGAGTGTATAGCGCTATGTACGGTATTTCCGCTACTGCAGTAACCCGTTTCCGGCCTACTCACATGAGAAACCTTCTCTGAATTTTATGAATCCATTTTTTTCTTGTTGTTTGGTTGCCCTTTAGTGAACATATCCATGATGACAATCTTGACGTTTCCAAGTTGTACTATTATTTGACAATAACCTGACGCAGAATTTTATAAGCTTTCCAAATCCGTAAAGTTTAAGTCTCAATCTTAATTTTTGTCTAAGATAATTATCATGATTTTAGTAGAGATGTGTTTTTTTATCAGTTTCCAGTTGATCAGACAGTTAATTTCCAATAGTTGAATATTTATGCACTGCAAACTATATTGGAAACTATATAATACATTACATAACTATTTGAACAATTAATTATTTATGTATCAAACTGGATAATTTAGACAATCCAAAACAAATAAATTCACAATGATTTAACAAAACATGAAATAGAAAATAATAAAAAAACTGAAATCCCTTTTTATAAGCTCAGAATAAAGTCAGCGTTTTAATTACAATAAAATATATAATGTATGATATTTAATAACAAATGATGAAATGCACGCATATCATATTTTATGCATCACAACTGCACTTCCTTGCTCTCTCACGTAATGCATATTAGTCACAGGTGTCGTAATGAAAAGTAGAAAATTAAAACTACTTCTTTTTTTATATTCACAGATTTAAAAATATATCTCTGATTGAGAAAAAGTGTCATGGCAACTTGAGTTTGAGTTAGAAAATATGACATATCGAATTTTAGTTTAAAAAAGAATAGCTTCATCAACGTTTTTATGAGCCAGTGTATTTCCACTTGAAGAAAATTAACCTATCAAATTTCTTATATAGTTTGATTGAATTTTTGTTCTTATTGTTAGATATAATTCTAGCCATAAAGTTGATGTTTACTTAAATGTTAATCATAGAAATTGAGATATAGCAAGTCTTCACATTTAATTAGAAGATGCTCCAGTATTTACTTGATAATTGTCTAATTTTTCAGTAATAAAAACTGTATTTTTTTGTTCTTTTGGATTTACTATTGCCTTGACTTTTGAATCACGAGTGTTTAAAATCAGTTCTTCATTTTTGTGTCTACTAGAAGAGCTTTCAATATTATTTTGCATATTCATCTTGCGTTTCAAAATTGATGTTATAGTTTGACACTTGTTTCTCTGGTAATTTTTCTACATTTATAACACAATATCACGTGCTATACTTATACTGCTAAAATGATGATTCAAATATTTACCAATTTCATGGAGGCATGTTTTACCAATTTCATATGATTTTTTTGGATTTATTTCTGACATTACCAGATTTTAAAAGACCATTTTGTTTTGGAGATCCATAAAGACCTTTTGAAACATTAATTGTAGTCGACATGGCACGGACATGACCTTTACCTTTAAATTAAATATAAAATTTATAAATATACCGTAAAAGGACAGTTATGACAATCAGGACCCATAAGCAGCTCATAGATAAGAGTGAAACAAACTTATGCTAAAAGCATGTTTCCTATCACTGACATGGAGATTTTTTATGGTATATTAATATAACTAACGAAAAATCAGCCGTTAAGCCATTAAGCATAGGTAACAATTACAAGTATTACTTCTAATTCTAGTCTCCTTTAGAGAATAAATATCTTCGTAATTTGACATAGTGGGTAGGGGTCGTTTGAAATTATCTTTCGTGATTAAGCGTGGCAGCGGTTGCATCGATACTGACAGAAATTACTTAGAGAGAGTGGTAAATTTAAATAGTGAAAGTATTCAACAGAAGCAAAAAGTATTCACCAAAATATCCAAATCCAATTTTGACACAAATTCGTATCAACTCATCACTTACTCCCAATATGAAACTGCTCTGTCGAATATTTTTTACTGGGTTACTAAAAACACCTTGATTGTCAATTAGAAGATACAAATACTTTAAAGTATAAGAATAACTAGTAAATGGAGATACAATGATTGTTTTGAAATTATTTTCTACTATAATATATACTGCAATTGTATGTTAATATGATTAACCGAAATGGAAAATCCTAACTTAAACACTTGTATACACCATCAAATTAATTATTTTCATAAAAAATTGTTTGAAGATCAGGTCAGAACACAACTCCGATTGAGATATATATGTATGCAACAGCCTTCACAGTTAGCAAGCATATAATTCAAAAAAATTGAATTGCAATTAAAATATTATGTTAAATAGTCATGTAAGAAGTATATGACAAGCAATATATTTCCCAAAAACTTACTAAAAGACTTTGCATAACATTTGCCAAAATATTACACCGTGATGTTGAGAATACAAATTCACAATACTTAAGAAATACTTGTGAAAGAAGTTGTACTAAAGTGGAGGAATGTAATGACAATATATTTCAAGTAATAGTGATACACATCAAAATAATTCGTTCTTCAAAATTCCAAAAAACTGAACATCTCGTAAAAAACAAATTGAAAAAACAAATATAATATTTTTATCTTTTGTTAATTATATAACAGAAAGAAAATTTTGACGTGTGACACTAAAATTAAGTTACCTTGGGTTTCTTACATACTTTTCACAAATAAATTGGGTGTATACAATGTATTGTTTTGGTAGAGAATATTGTATCATAGGTAAAATATATAATTCCCTTATTGTAAGAAACCCACGTAATTTACTTCAATAAGATGTAATATAATATTTCAGCAAATAAATGTGTAATAATAATGTTTAAAGTAGAAGGATTATAATAGGGTTTTTAATTTTTTTCAATTTAGGTTTCGTAGAGAAAGGCACACTGATGTAGAAAAAGGAGAATCGAAAGAAGGGGAATCCAAAGAAATTCAAATTCGAAAACTGCCCTCAACTGATGAAACTGTAGTAGCACGTCCAAAGCCTAGCAAATGGGGCAGATTATTAGGTAAATATTATTTATTTTATAAATTTTTTAATTTTAACTAAGTTTTTTAGGTATATTATATAACATATGATTTGTGTCATTTTAAATTCGAAAATTTAAAGAAAACTAGGATCTCGACTGCAGTATTGCAATAGAGAATAATAACTCATTATTCATAATTGTTTAAACAATTTAATTAGTTTCAGTCCCTAATAGCGAAATTTATAAATTAATGGGTACAATTTGCACTATTGTTGGGTCATTTTGCTTCCTCATAAGAAACTTTATAGTGATGTCGATTATCCTAAAATTTTATAGATGAATTACGATCACCAATATCTAAAATCTGACAAGGATTTCCAAAAATTTTTATCCTAAAACCATTGATTTTTGTTATCCTTCAAGAGATATTAGTCCTGTACAATCAAGAAAAAATTTTTTTCTAAAAGTTATTTGTGGTATCTGAAAGTACTATTCTTCCCCTTAAAAAGCCTTTCGAAACTTGAAAACATCTTTATTTTTCACTGAGATATCGTCTTTTAAAGTTTTTGAATCTGGTCAGTGTACGAATATTGACCAATTTACCAAATTCAAAAACTTCAAATGACGATATCTCAGAGAAAAATAAAGATTTTTTAAAGTTTCAAAAGGCTTTTTAAAGGAGAAGAATAGTACTTTCAGATACCGCAAATAACTTTCAGAAAAAATTTTTTTTTATTGTACAGGACTTCATAAATGCCCAAGTGTTTTTGGCACTTTTAGGTTAGAATATCTCAAAAACCTGACGTGATGGGGCAATTCTGAAGTCAGATTCGGATTCAGCGCGTCAAAAACCTTATCGGAAAAGTATTGTCCGGTTCTTGGTTCTAAGATTCGTCGAAATTTTGTCGGCCTGTGTTATATTGTCTAAATGTCCTTAAAATTAGAAACAGATTATTCGCTCATTTATTAAAAAAATATATCACAGGAGCAACATTTTTTAAAACAATGTCGCTAATGCACAACATGTGCGTTCTTAAAATATTGTTTACATTATTTTAATAAATTTCAAGTTTCAATAACCAACGGTATTTGTTTTTAAACTAAAAAGAAAATGTAATGTTTCAAAAAAATATCAATTTTGAATTCTAAAAAATTTTCAAGTTTTAACATTCAATAAACAATTGTTAACAAATAATAAAACAGACGCGTATGCAGAATTAACTACATCACCTTTATTTTGAATAAGAACATGTAATTTACCTACTTGAAAATTCTGGATTCAAAATAAATTTGTGCGTCTCAACTTGCGTGCCACAACGTGTCTCAACCTGCAAACCTCTCCTTTTTATTGATGCTATGAAATTATTTGTAGATATTAATACAAGTTTGAAACCTTGTCAGGACATTAAGATAGAACAAAAAAATGCTATGAACAAATTATTTTCACTTTTTTCTGTCACTGAAAATTATACATTTTTTTCACTAAACAGAAATTCTTAAAAGCATTTCTTTCAAACAAAAAATTGATTCGATCTAGCTGTACCGAAAAAACAGGTGTTATCATGCTTCTATTGAATAAATGTTTTGGCACTGAGGAAAAAGTTTAAAAGAAAAGAAAGAAAAAAACAGAATATTATTTTTTTGTGAAAAAATTTTTCGATTTGGCAAGTCCTGATATGTATATATGACATAAAATAGTTATTGACAGTTATTGTACAAATGTTTTTAAAAAAATTGAGAGTGGGATAAAGGTCTAAGCACAACTGAATTGTGTAACGTAAAGGTAAACGCACAACTGCTTCACTTGTTCGCGAACGAGATGTATGAAGTTGTGTTCACAACAGCACCTTGAACGGAACGTAAAAGTAACGAAAATAATATCTTTTCGTTACTCTTACGTTCCGTTCAAGGTGCTATTGTGAACTCAACCTGAAATAGAAAAAAAATAGATGTCTGTCCTTTGAGACGCATGATTTTCCCCTAAACGCCAAGTGGTCGAATGTTCAAATGGTCGAATACCAAGTAGTCGAATCGTTAACTGGTCGAATGCTAGAAACATCGAATAGTCAAAACGTCGAATGTTCAAAACATCGACTCATCAATTGATCGAATGTTCAAAACGTCGAATCGTCATTTGGTCGAATGCTAAAAACGTCGAATCGTCAAATGGTCGAATGCTCAATACGTCGAATGCTCAAATGGTCGAATGCTCAAAAGGTCGAATGCTCAAATGGTCGAATGCTAAAAACATCGAATTCTCAAATAGTCGAATGTTCAAAACGTCGAATCGTCAAATGGTCGAATGCTAAAAACATCGAATTCTCAAATGGTCGAATGTTCAAAACGTCGAATCGTCATTTGGTCGAATGCTAAAAACGTCGAATCTTCAAATGGTCGAATGCTAAAAACATCGAATCGTCAAATGGTCGAATGCTCAAAAGGTCGAATGCTCAAATGGTCGAATGCTAAAAACGTCGAATCGTCAAATGGTCGAATGCTCAAAACGTCGAATCGTCAAAAATTCGAAAAATTTGCTTGGTTTAAGTTAATGTTGACTTAAACCAAGCAAATTTTTCGAATTTTTGATGATTCGACGTTTTGAGCATTCGACCATTTGAGAATTCGACGTTTTGAGCATTCGACCATTTGAGGATTCGACGTTTTGAGCATTCGACCATTTGAGAATTCGACGTTTTGAACATTCGACCATTTGAGAATTCGACGCTTTTAGCATTCGACTATTTGACGATTCGACCTTTTGAGTATTCGACCATTTGACGATTCGACCTTTTGAACATTCGACTATTTGACGATTCGACGTTTTTAGCATTCGACTAAATGACGATTCGACGTTTTGAACATTCGACCATTTGAGAATTCGATGTTTTTAGCATTCGACCATTTGACGATTCGACCTTTTGAGCATTCGACCATTTGACGATTCGATGTTTTTAGCATTCGACCATTTGAGAATTCGACGTTTTGATCATTCGACAAATTGACGATTCGATATTTTGAACATTCGACGTTTTTAGCATTCGATGTTTTTAGCATTCGACCAGTTAACGATTCGACTACTTGGTATTCGACCATTTGAACATTCGACCATTTGTCGTTTAGGGGAAAATCATGCGTCTCTGTCCTTTATCACTTTTTTCGGAAGGTTCGGAAGTATGTAAACACCTTAAGGACAGTGTAGAATAACCTTTACGTTCCCTGCGGTCAATTCTGTTTCTACATTGGGCTTACTCTCTATATAATATTTCGTCTATGCTTAAATGTTAGTGTTTTGATTTACATTTTCGGTTTATGTTTACTTTATTCCCAAGTCAACATTATAACCACATTAATGTTTAAATACATAAACTATTTAACAAATAAGTTAATAATCTATTAACGTGCTTTTCAAGTATACGAAAATAACAAAAAAAATACCTAAAAGAAAGTCAAAAACCCAGAAATATTAAATCATTCCCCATCGAATGTAAAACATAACCAAAAAAACAGTACCGGTTGCTTTTTTTCACTAAAATCTTCTTTTTTCTTATTCAAAAAGTGCATAAATAATTACCTAGAATTTTGAAATAATGTCGAATCAAAAAGGTTTCTACGATCATTTATACAATTCATCGCAGAAAATCAACCTGAACAATTACTTTCAAGAATATGGTGCTCAGAAAAACAAATTCTATTCCGACGAAAAGCCAAAGAATCAAAAATCAATTATCGAAATAATGGGAGTGACAATTAATTCCGAGGAGTATAATATGCTGAGAGATTATTGCAGCGTCGATAACTTGACAATTCCCGATGAAGTCGAAGTCTCCTGTCATCATAGATCTTTATACAAGGAAGTTATCGAGGGAACAAGCATTCCAGAGGATATTCCACTTCAAACGCTAAAAGATTTAAAAACAACGGTGAAATACACGAAACCCACGTGGCGAGCAACAAAATACCGAAGTGAGATAACCGTGAAATATGACGTTGATAAAACATGTAAAAACATTGCGAGTCCAGGTGAGGATATTTTGGTTTACATTCGAGTTTACGCGCCTTTCAAACATCGGAGTTACAGTAAAATATCCGCTCAATTAATGAAAGTCTGCTTGAGTAATATGTTAGTGATTCTCGGTTCGCAAACATTGGCCGATGTTCGGGACAAAATCTCCTGTTTGTCTGATCTTTCGATTGCTACGGATGTGAGTGAGAAGCCAGTTTTGAAAGCGGGACCTTCGGCGAAGCAAGTTTATAAATCGGGATTTTTCTTTATCGAGGGAACTTTTTACAATGACATGAGGGATCCGACGAATAAAGACATTAGCAGTGTCATTAGAGAGTGGGCAATTTCCCGAAATATTGGCACTTTCGACACGGCACTCATGGAGACGACGCGAATTGACTCGTTGAAGGTGAAATTCGGTTTCCCGTGGGTCTATCAACATCAGGGGAATTGTGAGCATTTGATTGTATTCAGTGATTCGAGATTGGTGAATTCGAATGATGATTTGCCGATTGAGGCGTATCCGAGGATACACAGGATAAAGCCGTACATTAATCGTTATTGCATGACGTGTGGAATTTTTAGCGTTCGATGGATTACGACTGATAATCAACGACTTCCTCACGATCCTTGCTTCTTCTGTGAATCGTGCTTTAAATCTTACAACTACATTAAGGGGGAAAAAATTGGCAATTTTTCTGCATATGCATATCCGTTTCATGCCGAGTTGATTGAGAAAGGAAATAAGAGTAGCAAATCTGATGATACTCAATAAGATAAAGCATTTTTTTTAATAATTAAAGGTAATGAATTCGTTCAGTTAATAAATTACTTATTTAATTATACTAGCAACAATTCGCGTGCAGCTTCTCTCTAAATTTGAATTAGTAAAAATATTTACTAATTTGAATTAATGACTGACTTTTCGCTTTTGAATTAGTAAAATTTACTAATAAATTAGTAGAAATTACTATTTATTAGTCAAATTTACTAATTCAAAAGCAAAAATTCAGTCATTGATTTAAATTAGTAAATATTTTTACAAATTCAAATTTAGAGAGTTCTTACTCACTTTTTAAAATAAAATTAGCAATTTGAAAAATAATAGAATGTAAACATTTTAAATTCAAATTATTTTTTCATAAAAATAGAATATGAATTTGAATATAGTTTTAATATTATTATAACTATAATAATATATTATGACACAGGGAATTCAGGAAAAAGTCAGGGATTTTTATTAAATGTACTGGAAAAAAATTAAATTTTTAGAATTCATAAGAAAATTCTGTATATTTGTGTCTTTTTTGTTTGCCTCATTATCTATGAAATTACCACGAATTCTAATAAAAAACCTTCAAATTTTTCTATTTCCGACGACAATTTCTTTTTAAATAATTTAATTCTATCACAAAATTATTACTTAGAAATTATTTAATGAATAATTTGACTTAAATATTTCAAAATTAATTCAATTTTAAAAGAGTTCCGATTACAATTTCCATGAATAAATGAACTTCAACCGGTTTCAATTTAAAATAATATAAAAATTTAATTTTGAATGAATTTATAATTAGAAATTTTAATGAACTTAGATTTTTGAAAAATTTTAATAATTCAAATTCTTCTCAAATTAGTTAAATTTTTTAAAATATATATTTAATTTATTATAAATAACGGATTTATAAAAAAATTTTATCTAAAAACGCTAAAAAGAATTGAATTTTGGAGAAGTTACAAAATATTGCAGAAATTCAATTATTTTCAAAAGTAGATAATAAAATTCTCGTCAAAATTTCAATTATAAATAATAAAATTTTTCTCCAAAATTCAATTATTTTCCAAACATTTTTTTAAAATTCTCGTCAAAATTTCAATTATTTTCAGAAAATTTTCAACAGTTCAATGATTTTCAATATTTTCTAATTTAATAAAATTTTCCAAAAGAATTAAAAAGAAAAAATTAAATTAAATTCTACGCAAACATTTAATTATTTTCAAAAATAATAAAAATTTCACAGGAATTCAATTATTTTCCAAATTAGTCAAATTCTTCTTAGAAATTCAATTATTTCCAACAATTTTAATAAAATTCATGGCAAAATTCCAATTATTTTCAAAAACTTTTCTCAATTCAATGATTTTTAATAAATCTACTACTTTAATAAAATTTTTCAAAAGAATATTCAATTATTTAAAAAAAAAATTTTTAATTCTACGCAAACATTTCATTATTTTTATGAATAATAAAACTCATCTCTGACATTTATTTAATTATTTTTAATACAATTTTAATGAAATTCCTCGAAAAATGGAATTATTCTTAAAATTTTTATTAAAATTCATCAAAGAAATTCAATTATTCAAAAGGACATTTTAATAAAATTCGTCTCAAGAATTCAATTATTTTCAAAAGTAATATAATTCTTCGCAGAAATTTAATTGTGTTTAACAATTTACAAAAATTCTCGTCAAAAATTCAATAATCTTTATAAATTTTTCTCCGAAATTCAAATATTTTCAAAAACTTTAATAAAATTCTTGGCAAAATTTTAATTATTTTCAAAAACTATTATAAAAAAAAAGTTTCAAAAACTCTTTTCTCTTTGGAGAAATTCAATTATTTTTAATAAAATTTTAATAAAATTTCCGAAAAATAAATTTATTCTTAAAAATTTTATTAAATTTCCTCGAAAAAATTCAATTATTTAAAAATTTGTTGATAAAAGTCCTTATAAAAATTCAATTTTAAAAAACATTTAATTATTTAATACAATATTTATTTTTGTCTTTAAATAATTGAATTCTCGTGGATTTTTCTAGTAAATATTGATTTAAAAATGAATTTCAGTTAAAATTTTAGATTATTATTGAATATTGAAAGCAATATAGCGTACATTTTTAGAAATAATTGAATTTTGAAAATGTTTCCAATTAAAATCTTTTAGAAAGTTTGAACTTTTCATACTTTTAATTGACAATTCAGTAGAATTTATTTTTTAAAAAAGTTTAATTGGAATTTTTCTTCAATTCTTAAAGTTTTTATTTTCTAATATATATATTTAATTGAAGAATGTCAGAATAATCAAAATTACGTAAAAATTAATATTAAAAATAATTGTATATTTACGAAGAATTTCATCATTTTTAAAAATAATTGAATTCTTGCGAAGAATTTTATCATTTTTGAAAATAATTGAATTCTTGCGGAAAATTTTATCAATTTTAAAAATAATTGAATTACTTCGAAGAATTTTATTCAAATTTTTTGAGAATAATTGAATTCCTGCTAATAATGTTATTATCTATAAAAATAATTAAATTCTTGACAAGATTTTTAAGAAAATTTAAAATTAATTTTTCTTGAAAAGTTTAATGGAATTTTTTTTTAATTATTTAAAGTTTTTAATTTCTAATTTATTTAATTGAAGAATGGCAGATTAATCGAAAGTTTAGGTAAAATTGAATTGTAAGCAAATGGATTTAAAAATTCGCAAAGAAGAATTTTTTCAAAAATTATAAAAAAAATTGAGTTCAAGAAGAATTTTAGTTAAAAATTCAAGAAAATGAAGAATTTTATGTACTTCTTTTAAAAAAAGGTTGGTTTCTAAAATTGTTTTTTGAATTACAGCTTGATCGAACTTATACAGAAATTTGAAACAAGACTAATAATTAATAATTTTTTTTTCAGGCAGTTCAAGTTTAGATTCTAGTAGCGAAACTGGAACCGGAACGGACACATTCAAGCGATCGTTGAGTGCACGAGATAATCGAGCCAGTTCCAGTGGCGGTACAAATAAAGTCTTTCCAAAACTCGGTAAACTTGGTGGAACAATTGAGGAGCCAGCTGACATTGATAAGGAGCATCCCACGTCTCAAACGCTAACTGTGGATTCCAAGCAACTTCAATTACGTCGACTTGAGAGTTACGATGGCGGTCTAATCACACAACCGGGCCACGAGCGAGAAATCCTGGCAGCCGTACTGGAGGTGAAGGTCGACTTGAAACTCGAGGTGCAACGGGTAAATCAAAAACTCGCAAAAATCGAAGACATGCTGCAAAGTTTAATTAATAGAATGCCATCCGTTGGGAGTCCGTCGCAAACTAGTCCTTCGCAAAGAATACCACCCACGGTTCCTTCATCGACAAACGGCGCCAGTGTCACTGCAGTTTCCGTTTCTCAAAGCAGTTCCGTTATTATTCCCAAGAGCGGAAATAATGGCGCTGAGCCGAAGCCAATAACAAGTCCAACGACGAGTGCGACAACGTTAATTAGAGAAAGGTAGAGGGAAATATTTTTACTCTTCTTTTCATGGGGTCGGAATTTTCCAAACGCGTCGGCTGAAGTTTTCAAAAAATATTTTTGTTATAAAATAATATTTCGGCCGAAGATCAAGAATAAAAATAGTTAAATTTACTTTCGCCATTCGGTTCAGAGGAGTTGAGAAAAATTCTACTTTCGTCACGCGTTTCTAACAAGAAAATTACTCCTTCAGAGTTGCCACAGGTCAGAAAAGTCTGGGAAATTAGGGAAAAGTCAGAAATTTTTAATAAAAGTACTAGAAAAAATTAAATTTTTAGAATTTATAAAAATAATTCAGAATTATGGTGTCTTTTTTGTTTGCCTCATAAACTATGAAATTGACAAGAATTCTAATACAAAACCTTCAATTTTTTCTATTTCTGACAATAATTTCTTTTTAAATTACTTAATTCTTGAACAACAATCATAAAATAAATAAATTATTTAATGAATAATTTTACTTAAATATTTCAAAATTAATTCAATTTGAAAAGAATTACGTTTACAATTTTCATAAATAAATGAACTTAAAAAGGTTTCAATTTGAAATTTTAGAAAATATAAATTTTTAATGAATTTAAATAGAAATTTTTTAAAAATAACTGATTAGATAAATTTAATTATTTTCAAAAGTGATAAACTTCTTCGCATAATTCCATTATATTCAATAAGTAATAAAATTCTTCGCAGAAATTCAATTGTTTTCAAAATTTTTTTAAAATTCTCGTCAAGAGTCCAATTATTATTTTTATAAAATATATTTCTTGAAAAAATTTCAATTACAAAAAATTTCCTCAATTCAATAATTATTAATATCTACTACTTTTAATAAAATTTTCGAAAAGAATCCAATTAAGAAATTTTGATAAAATTCTACAAAAACATTTAATTATTTTCATAACATAAAAAATTTCACAGGAATTCAATTATGTATTTACGAATTTTTTTATAAATTTCTTCGCAATAATTTCATTATTTTCATAAATAATACAATTTTTTTACAGAGATTCAATTATTTTCATAAAAAATAAAATTCTTTTTAGGAATTCAATTATTTTCATAAATAATAAAACTCATCGTAGAATATCAAATATTTTTAATACAATTTTAATCAAAGTCCTCGAAAAATGTAATTATCCTTAAAAATTTTATTAAAATTCGTCGAAAGAATTCAATTATTTGAAAATTATTTGATAAAATTCTTTATGAGAAGTAAATTTCAAGAAACATTCAATTATTCAATAAATTATTTATTTGCATATGGGGCCGTTCATAAACTACGTCACGCCTTAGAGGGGGGGGGTGGAATTAATTTTTTGTGACGTTCTGTAGAAAAAATGTCGCTAAAGCATGTAAAATTTGTGACGTGGGCAGGGGGGGGGGGTGGAAAAATTATGCAAAATCGTGTGACGTAGTTTATGGACGGCCCCTATACAATTGAATTCTAGTAGAATTTTCTAATAAAAATTTATGTAAAAGTGAATTTTATTTAAAGATTCAGATAATAATTGAATATTAAAAGAATTATAGCGTAAATATTTAGAAATAATTGAATTTTCAAAAAGTTTTTAATTAAAATCTTTGAAAATCTGAATTTTTCATACATTAAACTAACAATCCTGTAGAATTATGTTAAAAATTTTTTAAAAATTCTCGTCTAAATTTCAATTATCTTTATAAATAATAAAATTCTTCTTAGAAATTCAATTATTTTCAAAAAATTTAATACAATTCGTGGCAAAATTTGAATTTAATTATCTTCATAAATTTTCCTCATTTTAATTATTTTTATTAAATTTTCCAAAACAATTAAATTATTTAAACAAAATTTTAATACAAATTTCACAAGAATTCAATTACTTATCAATTTTTTATAAATTTTAAAAATTCTATTATTTAAGAAAAATTGACAAAATTCTTTACAAGATTTAGTTAATAAAATTGCAATTTTAATAAAATTTTCCTATACAATTCAATTATTTTCAATACAATTCTTTTTTAGAATTCAATTATTTTCACAAATAATACATTTTGCTTCCTCATAAAGGAAGCCTTATAGTGATGTCGATTTCCGAATTTTTTAGAATCAATTATTTTTACAAATTTTCAAGTGTAGTATATATAATTCGTCGAGAGGAACAAATGTCCGGATGTGTGTGTGTGTGTGTGTGTGTGTGTGTGTGTGTGTGTGTGTGTGTGTGTGTGTGTGTGTGTGTGTCACCGATTCTTGTGGACAAATTTTCTCTTACACGTCTTGACGGATTTTGATAAAATTTTGTAGGTGTATTACGGTCATGAATACTAAAAATCAGACAGAAGGATTTTCAAAAATATCTAAAAAAAAAATTTTTTTCAACAATTTTTTAATTTTGGAAAAAATTAATTTTTGGATTTTTTAAAATAACTTTTTCCTATATTAAAATTTTATTAATTCTTGTCAAAATTGCATTCCTGACAAAAAAACGAATCGATTCATGTATATAAAGTATATATTTTATCAATATTTATAGAATTAATAAATATTTTAGATTTTCATAAAAAAATTGAAATTTTGTATTTTTTGAAATTTTATCTTAATACTTTAAAACATCAATTTTTTTTTTTTGATTTATTAAAAAGAAGATTTATTAATTATATTTAATAAACTATTATAATTATTTAACTTTTAAAATTATATATAATAATATATATTGAGGAAGCTTAATGGTCATAAAATGAACAACTTGTTTTATCTTATGGGAATTCAATTATTTAAAAAAAATTTGAATAACATTCTTCGCAAAAAATCAACTATTTTCATAAATAATAAAATTTTTCTCGAGAATTTAATTATTTAAAAAAATGTTGATAAAATGCTTTTGAAATCCAATTATTTTAATTACCTACAATTTTAATAAAATTTCTAGGAAAAAGTTCAATTATATTCAAGATAATTTTAATAAAATTTTTCTAACAGGTTCAATTATTTTTAAAAATTGTAATAAAATTTTTGTAAACAATTCAATTGTTCTCTAAAGTTTTTAATAAAATTCTTTGTAAATTTGAATTATTTTCCAAATTTTTAATTAAAATTTTTTTTTTAAAAATTGCATTATTTTTACGAAATTTAATGAAATTCTTTAACAAAAAATGTAATTATTTACAAAAAGTCTAATAAAATTGTTTAAAAGAATTTAATTTTCTATTTTATTTTAAAAACTTGAAAGAAATTCTTCATAAAGTTCAATTACTTTCATAATTTTGAGTAAAAATTATTTTTAAAAAACTCCATTATTTTCAAAAAAATTGAAATAAATTCTTCAAAACAATTCAAATTTAATTATTTTAAAGAATTTTAATGAAAGTCTTGCCAAGAATTAAATTATTTTCGATAAAATAAATTTTAATTACATTTTCTCGAAAGAATTCAATTATTTTCAAATGCTTTGATATATGCTTCGCTAGAATTCAATGATTTTCAGTACATTAATTTTAAAATTGAAAACAGTTATTATTTATTTTACAATTAAAAATATTGATAAATAAATGTATTACGTTTTTTGTATCTAATAATTTTTAGAGTGAATCAGAATATTCTTTATGGTCAGGGAAAAAATAAAAGTTCCGTCTGGAAATCAGGGAAAATTCAGGGAAAAGTAAAATCATATTTTTGTGGCAACCCTGTTTATATAATTTTCATAGTCCCCAGTAGTTGAAATAGACGAATTTAGACGATAAATTAACAATGAAATGCGAGTAGGCAGAGGGTTAAATTTAAGAATTTAAGAATTTAAGAATTGTATAAATGAGAATCGTTTTTTTTTTTTGCAGTGATCAAGTCGCATCGACAAGCGACCGTCTTGCATCAAAATCTTCGGATCAACAACAGCCGTCACAAGCACACCATCATCACCATCACCACCACCATCATCATCCAATCGAAAGGCAAAAGGAATCTGTCTCCGAAAGACTGGCAAGTGGAATGTCAGAATACAAATCCTCGACGAGAGAGATTAACAAGGAACTTTTAGAAAGATTGGCACAAGTTTCCAGTTCGCGGGATGACACAAGTGCACTGGGTCCCCTTATTTTAAGAAAGCGTCGAAGCAAATCAAGAGGCAAGGGAATAGCGCCCCTCGCACCCCTAGCGACTCAATCGTTGAGTCCAACGGAGGCCACGGAGACAACGCAAATGTTGGAGTCGACCGAGGATCGCGACATGAGTGCAGACAGAGTCGAACGAAAAAGACCGCCGCCCAGGCCTAGAGATTACTTGTGAAATTCCTTATCCTTCCAAATAAGCTTCTCAAGGCTAGTGGACATCTTACAAATTTTTAAGCAATTTCTATCACCGTGTCGATTGCTTACTTCCTTTTTGAAGATTACAATCTTCCCACTCAGATACACTGGTGTAAGTTTTTGAGCTTCCTCAGAAGTTGATTTCATGAAAAAAAAGTGATAAAAATACGTGGTTCTCGAATTTGACCAAAAATAGTCGCTTTATCGTGACACTCTAGAATATAAATATTAATAAATATAATCATCATAAAAACGAAAGTGCAAAATTGTATAAAAAATTAATAAAAAAAAAAAAAACGATAATACCGTAGAAATTTATTAAAATAAATTTTTCAAGGATGTCGCGTTGCACCTTTTTGCTAATGTAGTTGATATCGAATTGCGCGTTACGCAAACAAAAGAAAAACGCAATTGACTTAGCGAGATGCGCCATTTTAACGGCTTTCTTCGTGACATCGAAATTATTCCAAGAATAATTTTATTGCGCTGTTATTACTGCGAATAAGTAATAAATAAATAAATTTACAACGCGTCTTAGAAAAATATTGTATATACTTACTACATATATATAAAAAAAAAATTGCAGTCGATTATACATATTATACATGACAGATCCACACGCAAAAGCGCTTACAATATAATAAGATCAATCGTGGGGATTAAATAATGAATCATTTCTTATAAGTCTATTTAAAAGAGAAGAGAAACCGACATGTTGACTAATCAAAATCACTTGGAATTCAATTTTTCTTCAAACTCTGCTGCTATTTTATCATTTAAGGTATATTTTTGTTTATTAGTTTCCAAATGGAAATTTATTATTTTCAATGTTTTCAAGTATTGTGATATTATATTCGGATGAAATTTATAAAGTAAGCCCTCTATGCGCCGAGAATTGAAATTTTTTATGCAACAGGCGTATTATGGTCACTTTTGTGCCCAGTGGTCAATAAAGTACCCATTATTGTCCTAGGTCAATAAAAAACACATTATTACCCTAGGGAAATAATGGAAACTTTATTGATTTTTCTCACAGGTCAATAAAGTACTCATTATTAGCCTAGGGCAATAATGGTTACTTTATTGACCAGCTGGGCTTTATGGAGTCAAATTTTCGTCAAGTTTGATTACTCGAATTGATGAAAATGTCTCCCACATTTTGACCATTTTTTGACATCAATTTGACGATAATATTTTTCAGTACTAAATTCATTTTTACAAGATAATTTTCAATAAATTTATCATTTTCAAATTTTTATTTGAAGATTTTTCATTAAAACTTTTACAAATTTCATTTTTTTTAGAATTTGCAATTGAAATTCTTTAAACTACAATCTTGAAAAATTTTTATGAAATACTTTAACCGAGACCTGTGAAATTAACAATAATTAAAGTACTTACTTTTTGGTTGAAAAAAAAATTTAACAATAGTAAAAATGATGACGCGTAATTACAGGTGATTATTTTTAATAGGAAATAAATTTATAAAAAATTTTTTTTTTATTTGTACAAAATTTTGGCATTTTTAATTTGAAGTAAAAATTAGGATTTATTCTAACGAATATTAAAATATATTATTAATTTATCGACTTTTTTATTATATTTTATTATTAAATTGAGAAATTTTGACTTGAATTAAACATTAATTTAAAAAATGCATAAAATCTAACCCAAAAAAATGGTTGCATCAATTTGATGTCAAATTAATTACTTGAACTGACAAAAAATAATTAAAACTTTTAAGAATTTAATTATGTTTAGAATTTGCAATTAAAATTTATAAAAAAAAATGTTTATTTTAACATTTTTAATTTTAAGCAAAAATTATTTCTTCTAACTAACATTAGAATATTTATATTATTAATTTATCCAATTTTCTATTCATTTTATCATTAATTTGAGAAATTTTGACTTTCATCAAATTGACGTCAATTTGACGAAAATTGAAATTTAATTAAGAAAATGCATAAAAGCTAATATTCAAATTTAAATTTTAAAGATGAGTTACACGTAAAATAGGGTTTTACTGCAACAATAATTATAAAAAAAAAATAAAAATGAATAAATACAGGGATCACAGACTATCATTGTTCACCTTTTTTAAGTGAATAATTATTTATTATTTATTATTTATTCAAGATATTTATTTATTTAATCATAAATTCAAAAATCACCAATTCACCTCCTTTCAAATTTTTTTACTAAATTTAACTTTATTAATCCAAATTAAAGAGACTTTTTTCTGGTCAAGGTTTTCAAAAAAATCGATTTTTAAATTAATAAAATTAAATTCTTTCAAATTTATGAAATCTATTTCAATGAAATTTGACAAAACTTTTTATTGTTTCAATTTGTTCAATTCTTTTCGAGAATTTAATTATCATAAAAAAAAGTTTATTTGCAAGTTTTCAAAAACCTACATTTTTTGTAAAAGTTCTAAATTAAATTATTCAAAACTTCAATAAATTATTGGTAAAAAAATATTTAAAATTGAAATAGTTTCAATGTAAAACATTTTGAAATTTAATTATTTTTAAAAATTACAACTGCAATTTTTCCAAAAGTGAATTATTTTATTGAATTTTTTTATAAAATTATTTGAAAACTTCAATTATCTACTTTTTAATTTTTAAAGGAAAATAATATATTAATAACTTTTTTAAATAAAAATTTCTTGAAATTCCTGTTATAATGCTTCTAATAATTCAATAATTTGATTATTAGAAAAAATAATATTTGAAATAAAATTGAAATACTTAAAAAAATAAAATTGTTTAAAATATAAAATTTGAGAAAATTTCCTATTTTTTAAAATTATTTTTGAAAGTTCAACTATTTTCAAAAACTGTTAATTATATGCGTTTTCAAATAAACCTCATCTTTTTCGGAATTTCTAATTAATATTTTTCAAATTTCATTAATTTTTGTTTAATAAATATTTGAATACTTATTACTGTTATTTATTTGTCCATACCTGGAATTAAAAATACAAAATACTTTCGATGTAAAACCTTTTGAAATTTAATTATTTTTAAAAATTACAACTCCAATTCTTACAATATTTTAAAGAATCTAAAAAAAATAGATTTTTGAGAAATTGCGAAATGCGAAACTTGTTATTTTATAAATTTTCTAATTAGTTTTAAACAAAAGTTAAGTTTCTAAAAATTTATAATATTTATAATTTTCTATTTCAATAAATCTTAATTTTATTTCTTATTTTCTTTAAACATGATTTTTTTTAATTATTAATTTAACCATCAAAATCATATTTTGGAAGAATATGTTTCAAAAATAGATTCATCAGTTTTTGAAAACTTCTTATGTTCCATAAATTCTAAAAAGTAAACCTAATCAAGTGTCAGTGATGGATTTCGATGAAACTTGGCAAAAAGACGATTTAAGGGTTGAAACTACCTTTTTGTTGCGAATCTGACGATTTTTCAAAATTTTCGGTCGCCATATTTAATCCGCCATTTTGAATTTTGTAAATTTGACCTCAAATTCATAATCAGCGACCTCGAACCCCCCCCCGAGTATCAAGTTTCAAGCGATTTCAAGTAAAATTTAAAAATACAACCGTCATATTGAATCCGCCATTTTGAATTTCAAAAATCTAAGCAAATCTAACCCCAAATTCGTAAGCAGCGATCTGCAAAACCCGTTTGTATCAAATGCCTAAAAATTATATTAAACTGAAAGAGTTTTACCCGTTTTTTGTAATTTTAGGGGTTTTTAGCAACAAAAGGAGTAGTTTCGACAAAAAAAAATTAAAAAAAAAAAAAAAATTTTTTAATTTTTACAAATCGTCTTCTTTGTACCGATATTCAAAATTGAAAATGAATCAAAACAAAAATTAATCAAATGCCATAATTTCGTATTTCGAATTAAAAGAACAAATTAAATCTAACACTTTAAGAAAAGAAATTTTTTTCCGTGCAAATATTTCTCTACTTGAAAACATTTTTAGCAGTTTTTTTTTTATTTCGATGTTGGGCATATGTGAATATACGTATTATTCAGCTCAGGAATTCATCGGAATTTTATAAAGATAATATATATTATATCAACTCTAAAATATTCTTCGTTATGAAGATATATTCTCTTTTTTTATTATTATTATTATTATGAAAAACGCTTTTAGAGCTAAACGCCGTCAGTATAAACTAACATAATATTAAACTCGAAAGTTTAGGAAAATATGAAAATAAAAAAAAATAAAGAGCTCACTACATTAATCATGCTGATACTATAAGTAATTACGAGTTTGTACATTCTGTATGAAAACTTATAGTTAGGAAATATTCTCATACAAGGGTGCTCCGACCATATTTTACGAATAACAATAAAAAAAATAGAAATAATAATGTATATCATATATGGAATGCATGAGAGAGATTTTTATGCATAAAGGAGCAAAATAATTATTTATATATATTTTCCAAGGCCGTAACTGAAAACACAAAAAAAAATATTAGTGTGCACAAAGTTATTACTCAAATTTAAAAAACAAAATCGTAATTAGAAAATAATTATTCCCTCTGGGACTTTTTCTCTTTTGAAAAGTATTTTAAAAAAATATTTTCGTTTTTTTAAAAATATCCATTTGTATTTTGTTGAATGAATTCAATTTAATTTTAAAAAGTCAACGTTTGTTTTAATTATATCCATGTAGAAATATGTAAGTTTGAAGGAAAAACAAAGTTTTTTTTTTTATAACTTTAAGACAAGTTACGGTCGTGGTTAACAAATTTTTATTTAATTGTTTGTACATATGTACAGGTAGGCTTGAGAATGATAATGATGATAATGATGATGATGAGGATGTAAGAAAAAGAATTAAAAATGTGAGCCAAATTAGAAGATAATATTGTGATATACGTGATGTGCAACAATTCCTTTACTGCGATGATAATATTATTTAACCAGCGCCATACGTATATTTTTCTAAGATACAGTTCTCTTATATGCTGTGAATTTAATATTACTCAATTTCTAAAACACGAGCTCTTTTTCAAAAAAAATAATTACTTTCAATTTTCCAAAATTTAAGTTTTTAACTTGACTCTAAAAAAAATGAAAACAAATAATAGGGTGCCCTAAAGTAAGGTCAAGTTTTAAATTGGTTTTCTTCTTACTATGCAATGAATTTAAATAATAATTGAATTTTAAGAAAGTACGTGTATTCCTTTTACTAAAAAAAACTCGTTTTAATATTTAGTCAATTTCGAAAATAAATGAAAATAAATGAAACTTGGTATACTTACTTATTGAATTCAAACTAAAAAAAAGTAGTAAAAAAGTAGCTATCGAAAAATTAAACTTGAGGTGACAAAAAAATCATTTTAGACACTTCACAAAATTGACAAAAATAATTCAATTCTATATTTTATTTTCCTGAATTTTTCCTTATTTTCATCATAAATATTAACTTCTATCTTACCCTGCTAATAAATTGAATTCCTGCAACGAATTTTATTATTCGTCAAAGAATTTCAATATTTATAAAAATAATTTAATTCTTGCGAAGCATTTTATGAAAATTTTTAAATAATTCATTTCCTTCGAGAATAATAATTGAATGTCTGGGTGGCATTTTATTATTTATGAAAATAATTGAATTCTTGCGAACGATTTTATTAGAATTTTTTAAAATAATTGAATTTCCAAGAAAAAATTTATTAATTTTAAAAATAATTGAATTCTTGTGATGAATATTGTTATTTATGAAAGTAATTGAATTTTGCAAAGAATTTTATTAAAATCCCTCAAAATAATTGAATTTGTTTCGAAGAATTATTTATGTAAATAATTGAATTCTTGGAAAAAATTTTATTAAAATCTAAAGGAATAATTGAATTATTTAAAAAAAAATTCAATTAAAATTGTATTCAAAATAATTAATTTCTTTCGAACAATTTTATTCAAATATTTGGAAAAAAATTGAATTCCTTTGAAACATTCTAATATTTTTGTAAATAATTGAAATTCTTCGATGATTTTTATTATTTATGAAAATAATTGAATTTTTGCGAACGATTTTATTAGAATTTCTTAAAATAATTGAATTTCCAAGAAAAAATGTATTAATTTTAAAAACAATTGAATTCTTGTGATGAATATTGTTATTTATGAAAATAATTGAATTTTGCCAAAGAATTTTATTAAAATGCCTCAAAATAATTGAGTTTTCGGGAATAATTTTGTTTTTTATCTTTAATAATTGAACTGCTTTATGTAAATAATTAAATTCTTAAGAAAGATTTAATTAAAATTTAAGAAAATAATTGAATT